GGAGTCAATGACGGGGAACGTTAGGATTTTTAATAACTGCTAAAATGTGTTGACATCTGCGTCGCTTCAAGTTCTCATACCTTAGCAGCCGTCGTAATGTATGTCCTCGATATGGATATACATCACGAAGGTAAACAATTTCAATCACACAGCTGCAAAGAGCAAAAAGAATCCCGAGATCCCTTTTCCGCGGCAAAGAGGGCAAGCGACTTTAGTAACGACCTAAAAAAAGCCGCAATGTTGATAGAGTGAACGCAAGTTTGACAGCCTCTAACACGCTATCACCGAAAGGGCCCTTCTCCCTATCGTCCGGGATGATTAATTTTAAAAGGGAAAAAAAAAACAGCTATATAGAGGTCAAGGTCATAGTTCACTTAGTTGATTGAATGATAACGCGCAGCATATACATACAAAAGTATGCAAGAGGGATCGCTAATAGTAGTACGGGCGCGCCTACTCTCCTCATCATATGGGGGCGAGACTCAATCAGAGCTCGGGGTTTGGTATCTAAGGCTCTGGTTTGGCCGTTGATGGTAGCTTTTATCGCTGGGTGCAGCTTCAGAAGTATTTCCTGCTCATGATTTGAGCTCATATGAGACCCTTGCAGCCATCATGGCAATTAATGCACAGCGGTAGACAAATGAAATAGGAATAGAAAGGGAGAGAGGAAATATGGTCTGGTGAAAGGAGATATTATGTGTACGAAAGTCGCACTAGAATGTCTATGAGATGCTCAGACATTTTGTGCACGTTAGCATAGAGCGAATGACGTATGACATTGTAGAAATTAATCCAGCTGATGTAGGGTGGGAGTGAAGATGCTATGAGGAAGACACTGGCTGAGTGCAAAGACTGCCATTGCGGAGTGTGTTGCTCGCTTTTCCATTGGGTTGTTTTGGTGCTCACGAGTTATAATCCGGATGAGTGAGCTGGCAGTTGTGAATTGACCGCTGGCCACCATATTAAGCTATGATTATCCCTACGAAGAAGGGCTGGGGTATAAATTTGCATCCGCCCAAGTATTCGCAAAGTGATGGGGAATGAGGTCATTGAGATACCCACACAGCAGACAGCGCGCTAGCTTTGGATGCATGATCCAAGCAGACCAAGCTGAATTGCAAATTGCGTTTCTATGGAGTGTCAGTTTATGGAATTTTGTAATTCTTTTGTTAAAGTTGTGTTATCAAGGGGAACCCACTCAACTGATGTAGTTACAAAGCCATTTAGGCGTATCTCTGTTGATGACGGACTTAATGTTATTAATGCCACTCTATAATAATCCCGCTCGTTTTGAGGCATGTGATTCTTTGGTTTGCAAAACTACTTTAGGCTGCTGAAATCGGACAACGCATTTCACAGTCGAGATCATCACAATACAAAATTTGTTAGCCTGCCACTTCTGGATTACTCTTGCCTAAGCCCATGACACTCGTTGTCCTGGCCAAGACAGAGGTGCTTGGGTTTCCATATTCCAAAACTGCCACTCTACTTCTCATGTATCGAATGAGGTGCTGGGTTTAATGGGTCGGTTTTCTCAGTTCAATCGTATGCAGGGCCTTGCTATAAGGAATACCTCAAAATAGCATCATATTCGAGATATGCCGTACCAATCAATACTCGGCTAATGAGTATTTCACGGAGCTGATGCATGTCATAGAATAGAGCCCCGATTTCATTCAAAATGCAGAATGCAAATAAAAACCATTTATCTGTCGTCGGGCTTCTCGTGAGTTTTTGTCACATTTCAAGTGAAGAAGATAGTTAATTTACAGATGAAGACTTCAGAAGAGGGATCCGCCTCAATAAAACCTATACCAAACTCATCTCTATGTCATAGAGCAGCAGTTTCTGTTATGAAGCAACCTGAGGGCTTGTTTCGTGAGTGTGGGCCGGCACTGGATGAAGGATCGATTTTACCAAGGCGGGGAATAAGACTCCGGGTTTATGTTATTTCGCAATACGGACGGGAACTTATCAGGGTCACTTACTGGCTTCTACTTTAGTCGTAGTATTGATTATGGAGACTGAAACTGCGGAGAACTTTCAGGAGCTCCCAATAAAGCGTACGCAACAAGCTGATCATATGACATAAGCCCATTTAAGATTAATTATCGGGACACTTCCCCTCTTCCTTTATCAGCGTCCGACTCCTAACGCGTAAGAATTGGCGCAAGAAGAAAGGCTCACAGATACACATCAACGATAGGCAACTAAACATGTCGACTGACAACACCATTACTTTCTTCGATATTCCGACTAAGGAGCCGAAGACATGCTGGTCGTTCAATACTTGGAGAGGTATAGCATGTCTAAAAAAATATATGGCTCTAGAGATATTCTAATGACCTATTTAGTGCGGTTAATACTCAATTATAAAGGCCTAGACTACAAGACAGAATGGGTGGGCTCCTACGAGAGACACCGTGGTGAGATTGACGGCTGATATTGTGCAGATCGAGTATCCCGACCTTAAGCCAACATTTGAGCCACAGTGAGTGAAGCTGAGCGTTTGAAATCAGTCGAAACTGTCTAATACGTATTCTCAACCTATCAGTTTATCACCAAATGAGATGGCAGGGGGTATATATACAGCTCCAACTATCCGGCTCCCTGACGGCACCTACGTCATGGACTCCAAACACATCTCGGCTCTCCTTGAGGAAAAGCATCCTGAACCAAGCATCCATCTCGATCCAGATCTTTACGCGAGGTTGATAGAGCAGCTAAAAGGAGGAATGGGAAGTTTGACAACGGTCTATGTTACTCAGGTGCCAGCACGCCTCCTCAGTGAACGCAGTGTCGAGTTCTTCAAAAGGACTCGCGAGGAGATGCTGGGGATGACGCTTGAAGAATACGCAAAGTCGATACCACGGGACGAGGCATTTGGAAAAGCCGCCCCTTATCTGCAGAAGATCACTGAGATGTTGCAAGAGAAAGAAGGTCCTTTTTTCAAGGGAGATCAAGTCAGCTACACTGACTTTGTCTGGGCCGGGGTTTTGCTCTTTTTCAAGGTCCAAGGTGACGAAACCTTCGAAGACTTTATGAAGAGCACTGGTGACCGTACGGTTCATGAAAAGTTCTTCGAAGCCTTGAGTCCGTGGACAAAGCGGCATGACTAATGGAGCTGTTATGTTTTGAGACTATGGCTCTTTTCTACTTGGGACCAAGTATTACAAATGCTGATTTTGAATGTCGATATAACACACATAACCATCTATTCCAGGTCGCTACAGCCACTTTGATGATGAATCTATATTGCTTTAATTGCCGGTATCATGTGACTTGGTGGTTTATCTCCGTCTAACCGTTTCATTGGTTCATGTCTTGACCAGCTGGTCGTATCGGTCGCGTTCGCGTAATGAATCAGGTTTAGACTCACCAAGCTTTATCACCCGATTGGTCAGTGGTGTGCGCATTGGCTTGAGCTGTTAATCTAAATGAACGCAGTTAAGGATAAAAGCTCATCCAATCTCTGCTCCTTCATCCAACTAACCCAAACCACTTCTTTTTCTTCTTATTTTCTGGTGTAAACACAGATTCTGGATAGAGTCAACCAATATGAGGGCTTTATACAGCTGGTTTCGTCCTTTATGTGTTGCTCTCTTTAACTCATCACTACCCTGGAAGTATCGCTGGAGGCTTGCGCTACTTCAGCCCATCTCACTGCTCACCTACTCTATTGGCTCATTCCCATATATTTTCTCTCGACCTTTCTGGGTGGAGCACCTGCCTATATCTCCAAAGAGGTCCGTCCGTGCCTTGGTCTTCAAGACACCTGGCACTGGAAAGGGTCGTAAGCTTCGGCCTCTCCACATTGAGATACATGGCGGAGCATTCATTGGTGGCCTCCCGGAGAGCAATGCCCGGTTCGACGAGAGGGTTGCTATCGAGACGGGCGCCGTGGTTGTGAGCCTTACATACAGATACGCACCAGAGCATCCTTTCCCTGCTGGCATTGATGATATTGATGCTGCGATTGCATGGATCATAAAGAACGCCGAGTCTCGATGGGGAGCAGACAGTACCCTCATGACCGTCGGTGGGTTCTCAGCGGGTGGAAACCTCGCCCTGGCAGCCACACAACAACCGGAACTGCAGGCTCCTTCGCCAACTGCCTTCAAAGCGAGCGTTACTTTTTATGCCGCGATTGATCTTCGTATCCCCCCTTGGGAAAAGCCCAAACCAGCGAACTTTCCCAAAACCGACCCTTTGGGGTTTTTGCTGCCGCTTTTTGATTCTTATCCGGGCCCCGTACGGGCTTCACACATGGAAGACCCTCGAATGAGCCCCGTCATTGCCAGAGGAGAAACACTCCCGCCCCGAATGCTTATGGTGATCCCCGCAATTGATATCCTAGTAGCGGAACAACAGGGGTTGGCTGAAAGGTTGAACACTGAGCAACCTGGAAGGGTGGAAGTGTATGTCGAGCCGGAGGGTTTTCATGGCTACTTGGAAGGTAAGAAACTGGACTGGCGCTTATTGCTTACCCAAGGGTGCTTCTAACATGACTTTAGTACCGGATGCGGCAGTGAAGAAGGAAGTCAAGGACAGAGCTTATGATAGAGCAATCAAGTTCCTGATTGATACGCATGGCATGCATGGATGGGCCTGGTAGTGATGTTGGCTGACATCAAATCTTGGGATGAACACTCCTCTTTCTCCATTGTTTAATTTACACTCTACTTTCAATTGAGATCATGCGACAACACGGTGAGTGTGTCACTGATGAAAAGAAAATCAGAGATTGTTACTTACAGTAACCTTTCGTACATACTGTGCGCCTTTGGTCAGATTTTTTGGGAATATCTCTTAACTGAAAGAGAGAGATTAATGTCGAGAGGGATTGAAACATTGAAGAATTGATATAGACGTTTTGATAAGAGCTCGCGCATGGGTGTGAAAGTTGACATAATTTAGGTAGTCATCCAAGGTCCGCTTCCCTTTCTTCCTTTCCATTCTGAGCCCTTGTCTCTGCTATATTCACTCGCAAGAAAGCCGACATGGCCATTCTACCACCCATCATGAGCGGCAGCCTAAGCCGTGCGCCATGTATCCTCCGCTCTCGACTCTACACCATCGCCCGCCTCGCGTACCGCGGCAGACTTACACTCCCTGCCGCAGCACCACCCCCGCTCAGTCGTGCGCTACCACCATCCCGGCCCATCTCGACAGCGCCGCCCAAGGCACTGAGCATGACCTCGCCTTCGCTGGAGCGGCACAAGTCATCGCCCGAGCGCAGCATCCAGCGGCAGATCGCCGCCGGCAACATCGACAAATGGGGCTGGGTCGTGTACCGGACAGCGTACCAGCCCGAGCTGGACGCGGCCTGGGCGACGCTGCAGCGCCTGGTGCTCGAGAGCCTGCGTGAGTGCGTCGCCGAGTCTGACGCGCCTGAGATCGCGGACCGGGTGGACTGGGTTTTTGTAGCGGACCTGGAGCTCGAGGGTGCGTCGTTGGATGAGCTGAAGCGTAGGTTCCGGGCCTGTGCGCGCGTCGACGCCCCGTGCGACCTCGATACGTACGAGCCTGGGACCAGCCGTGGCTCGCGTTACGACTTCTTCGTCCAGGCTGAACCTATGCCGCTCTGCTCAGCGGCGCTCATGTGAACCTTGTCAGGGCATGGGTCGATCAGCTTCCGGAAGAGAAAGCGATGGACGCGGATGGGGAGCCTGTGGATAATGAGGATTGGATGAAGATTCAGCTGGGCGTGGTTTCGCCTCATTATTATGTCGAGCTGGGCGACGACGAGACTTGGTACGCCTACTACAGGCCGCCGCCGAATGGCATCTGTATGCCGTGATATTAATACTTGCTATGTCTTAAGTGACGCTCTCACTGCGGATAAAATGACGAAAGATTTTAAACAGGCCTAACCACTCTCAAAATATAAAATCAAAACCTGCAGAAATATCTCACAGATACTTAAATATTAAGGTAAAAGCTCAGAGGAATAAGATGCCGAAGACCTCTAATCTGCGCATTATAGCCAAGTTATAGATCAGTAGTCAACGAGCCATGGAACCGTTATGAATCTAACTACTTATCAAGGTAAACATTATTACAGATGGCCTCAAATGTGTTCATCTTGTGCATAATCTTATCGGCAGCGGCCTGCTGACAAGCCCACATGTCTCTACCAAGAAGCATGGAACGTTCAGATTCTTTCCCTTTGCCATACCCCTCTCCCATGATCATCTCATACATCACTTGAGTTGCCTTTTTATGGTCACCATCCGGGGTAAATTTCTGCTTGACCGATCCAACGACTTTAGCAACTATGGAACCATCGTAATCTGACGGGAGAGGGTTGGATGTGGTTCTGACGCTGTTGCTTGCGAAAGGAGTATCGAAGGCTCCTAGGTGAATGGTTAAGGTGCGAACATTGAAGAGAGCAAGCTCTTTCCCCATGACATGTATCAACGCTTGACTAGTGTTAGTTGTTTCTGTATTGATTGCTGGGTGCAGAATATGGTGAAACTTACTGTCCATTGCGGCTTTACTGGCACCATATACGGCCATCGACTCTCGCCCATCGACGGCTGACCCGGTGCTGACATTGACAATCATACCTCTTCTTCTTGTCCGCATCCCGGGGACTACCGCTCGGATGAGCCGATAGGGGCCAAAGTATGCTGTCTCAGCTAGAGCCCTGACTTCATCTTCGTTGAAGGCTTCAGCAGGGCCCAGGATGGCACATCCGGCACAGTTTACCAGAATATCAACCTCAACTCCTTGTTCCTGGAGCTTGTAGATGGCATCGGCCGAATCAGGAGCATTGATATCCAGCGCCACTAGTTCACCACCTTTTGAAGATATTTCCTTTTCGATATCAGGATATGATGATGGATTTCGGGATGTGGCAATAACGCGGTGACCCCCCTCCAGAGCCAGCCGTGCTAGAGCCAGACCAAAGCCTGATGATGCTCCCGTGATGAGCCAGGTGAGTTTCTTTTCACCCCAAGACAAAGACATGGTTGAGATCGCGGTAGCTTAAGGGATTTTGTTTCCAAGAACTGACACCAAAACAATTTATTTCAAATAATATTCAACCAGAAGAATGGATTTTTAGGAGGAGAAACTTGGGTGGGCAAAACTAATATTCAATTGTGGTGCGGCAATAGGCTGTCTTATGTCCGTGAGCCCCGGGGATTATTTAAGCCCGCTCTTGATACCATCATAGTGTCGCTATCCAGGTAATGAAGTATACTCTGGACAAGCGAATCAAGCCTAATACGAAGCGAGCATTCGGAGAATTGATTTGAAAGCATCACCGAATTTTGAGTTCGAAGTCACAACGAATTCAAAGATCCAGCAGAACAGTCCAAGGCGCTGCAGGAAGCGCTTCTTTAGTCTAAAGGAATCAAACCCCTCATGAATGTAATATTGCTCCTTTTCACTGGAATCTGATTGATATTCCTGACGTCTCAGACCCAGTATCGCAGCCGGGGCGACACACGCTAAGAGCGCGCTGTAAGGTGTTTCCATACGTGCTAGAGGGTTCATGGTGTCTATGCAGTCCTCCTTATAGTTTTTGAGCACATTAAATTTGGAGGCTGAGATAATCACCTGAAAATCAACAACAAGGATATCATAAGACTACAACGTCACGGTCTTACACAGTCTATTTTGCTGTCAGGAGCCACATTAGACAGAGATAGCGAGCGAACTTCGTGGATATAACCACTACTTGATCTCAGAAGCAGAAACATCCTCGGATATGATTGATTGAGTGATTAATGCTAACCCGGATGTCTCTGTAAGAGAAACCCCTTAATCTGATTCCGAAAGCGAATCATCGCTGCTTTGCACCTCTGCCTCCCATTCCTCTTGTGATCTGACATCTTTGAATAGAGCCTTAGCCACCTCTTTCTCCTCATGCATAGAGCGCCCATACACCCATTGTCCAGGCTTGTTGGTGTCAAAGACGGCCAGATTTGCCCTCTCTGGATGTTGTCTATGCACTTCTGGGTGGATCATTGAGAATACCAAGCCGCAGAGTCCACCCTCTCTGCGATATCTAATATCAGCCTCTACCCTCCCTAATCCTAGGCGGGGAAATCTCATCCTAATGGAGTGTTCTGGTTTGGAGTCTCTTGACTGGTGGCCGGGATGCGGGTTGATCGTCGTCATCGCCTTGAACCAGTCCTGGGCTGAGGCTGGAAGTGATGAAATATGGCACCGGCTCTCAAAGATATCGAAGGCATACTTCCGAACATCCTCTTTCGTTGTGACCCGCCATTCTTCGTTTGAGTGGTGGCCTTGGCAGATGCCCTTGTGCTTGCACATGGAAACGCGGCCATCTTGTCCCCTGTGAAATGTGTGGAAGGCCCGCAAGGCCACATTCCAAATATATATGTTTCGGTTGAGGCATGTGGCTTGGGGCGAGATGTCATGACCGAGAACGGCATTCTGGCACTTTTCGCACTCTTTATCGTCAACTTCCCGCTTTGGGATCGGAATGTAGGCAGCTCCAATATCCAGCCTGGAAAGATAAGGATGGATATCCGCGCTTCCCAATGGGTTGATATGCTTGAGAACGGCTGTCTGCAGTTCAACAGGGATGTGTTGATGGAGAAGTGAGGATACTAAGCGAAGTACCTCCTCTGGCATGGCCGAATTGAGTTTCTGTTGTATGTCTTGAACAAAATAATGAGAACGTCGCAAGCAAGGGCCCCTGTATCCCATCCCGCTAAATGATCCATAGCCATGCTCTTCAATCAGGGTGTTAAAGAGCGGTACGGCGATTGGACCCTGCCTGGTGGATGGGCCTCTGAATGGACCATCCCACATCGACTCCCGCCGCCGCTTCCTGTTTTTAATTATGTACTTTTCTGCCTGGTTTTGAACTGCCCAGAACTCTGATGAAGAGCACGCTGACATGATAACACGATTGTAATCGTTGGAGACGCTATCGGAGTTATCAACTTCGAAGAAGGTCGAAGCCCAGGAGAGATAATCCGTTTGTCCGCTCTGCTCCCATGCTCTGCGTAACTGAACGAGAAGTGTCTCATCAAGATCCTGGCCTAGGTCAGCCTGGACCTGGAACCGTTCTTGGCCATCTGCAAGGCGCTTTGGAAGAGCCTTATTTTTAGAAATGGCATGCTGGGTGAAGAGGATCATCCTGGCAGCGAGGAAAGGGCCATCGGGATCAAGCTTTGCCAGTGCGTCGACTGGCTCCAGGGCGGCGTGCCAGCCCCCGAGCAGTATCTGGTCCAGCTCAAAGCCGCCCGGGATGTTCTTGAAGCCAGAACTGAAGCCGCCGTCATCGCCATAGTCTTCTTCTTCATCATCGTCGTCGTAGTCACTGTCATCATCTGTGTCATCATTCCCATTAACCTCTTCTTCGTCAATTTTATCCTCCTCTCCGTTGTTGTTCTCCTCAGCTTTTTCATCCTCACTGTCGTCTTCCTCCGGGAATGGGGCGTAGGGTTTGCCCCGCCGGTAATCTGAAAGTCTGCATATGACGGTGTAGAGCTGCCTTAGCAAAGCCTTGAGCTCCCTTTTTTCATCACATTCGCCTTTGTTGCCTGCCAAGCGGGGCACCCGAAGCGCAATGGCATGCAGCTTGGAAATGGCTTCTGAGATGAATGCCTTTTCACTCTGGACCGTAGCCTGCCTTCTCTCAGCAGCGGCGAAAGGGTTATTATCTGTCATATTGCCGTTTTTTGTTCCAGATGTGAAAGCTTCAAGGCATCATGATGGTGGAGGGAAGGGAAGAATGAGTTTTCGTCCTGTTGGTCAGACGACTGCTTTTAGGAAAGAGCGGTGCATGTGAGATACGTAAGTAGGTACCTAAGTACCCTAAAATTAGAAAGATCCACAGTTCTAGCTCATTTTGGTATGTTTACCTCAACCAACAGACATTACTTGGGTCATGGATGATGGACGATTGCCATTATTCGTTGGCTGCAGGGGGCGTAATCAACGGAAACTTGAGTGACAGGTCCACTGATGATTATTATGAGCATTATATAATCGCGTCAAATGGCTGCGCTATTGCATGATGTACTTTAGTTGTTAGTTTAGCCCTTCCGCATTTTGATATCAAGATGATGGCAGTAATGCTGCACCAATCTATTATAAAGGACATCCTATATGGCATATGAGGTGACCCAATAAAGAGCCCGAACTTCGTCATATTTAGTTTAAATTACAGTAACCTGGTTAAGTTATGTCTAGTTCACCGACGACTTCAAGTATATGAGCTATGAGATGCGGAAGAAAATTGATTCTTGGTCTCAATGATATGCATTATCTGAAACGGCATGAACACTGTACAGCCAGAAACATGAAAACTGCCCGCATCACTGAAATATGTCATACCGAAACCGTAACATGATGATTTGAATTTGATAACTCGCCACTACTGACTTTATTGTTACAGAATAGATGCCCCTTTTTGCTTCCTCAGGCTTACAGTACACTAGATAGATCAACAGCCACAACCTTTGCAGGCTCGGTCACTGTGCCATTGACAGGAACAGCAGAAGCACCAGACGTTGTTGCGAATAGCGTGTTTGAATCACGCCCCATCCCAAAGGCTGTCGCTGTAACTCCCCCAAGAGCGAGAGAGGTAACCTCTCCCGCAGCCGACGTATAGGTGCTATATTCCTTGGATCCCCCGTTCTTATAGATCACCAACATCGTGTTATTGCTTGACGCGGCTGCCCAGATGTTTCCCTTCTTATCGAAGGTAAAGTCGTCAATAATGGAGATATCAGGCAGTGAGAGGAGCACTTCTACAGCAGCACTCTTCAAAGGGTAGCCCGAGGAGTCAATTGCGATGCGGTAGAGCGACCGAAGGGCCGTGTTTGTCCAGTAGAGGTGGGTGCCCCAGACGTGGACACCGTTTACCCCAAAAGGACTGTCCGTTGTTGGTTTCAGCTCGGGAGCGTCAAGAAGTATCTCATCAGATCCAGTTGAGAGACTCACGCGGCGTAAAACACCCGCGTAGGAATCCGCCACGATGAGACTCGTCTCCGCCTTGCACTTGGGTGACTTGCTGTTCTTCCCGGTCAAAGAAGTCATTCCGTTCAGCAGACCAGCCCCCTTGATGACAGTCACTTCTCGGGCAGTGAAGTCATCCCTGTGGGTGTTTGAAAAATTGATCTCCCACACAGCTCCAGTGTCGGCAACTGGAGTCACAAATGCTGAGAAGTTATGCATGTTCACGGCAAATCTGTCGTTGCCGGTCTCTGTAATGCCCACAAGGCCCGTAGCGTTGGGAAACTTGTAGAGCGGAACCAGTTGTGCATCCGCAGAACCCGGGGACTTGACATGAAAAAGCGTGGGATTTGGCAGCATCATCGTCACCAGGAGATCTCCGTTGGGACGTACGGCAAGGTTCTCGAACCATGATCCTGTTTGGTTGAAACTTGCGACTGTGTGCGTTGGGAGATTCAGATTGTCAGTCTGGGGGAAAGGTTTGGCTTGAACTCTAGCCAAGGCGGCCAAACTGATTATGTAGGTGAAGGAGGTGAACCGCATCTTGTTGAAACTGATAGATCGGGCTGAAGTAGATCCTGAACAATCTTGTTGACTTGAATACAAAATGGGTTGAGACATTGTTCTATCATTAAGTCTTATAGATGTACGACTATCTTAGACATGATCATAGCTTGCTGTGGTCCTATAACATTTGTCATGTCACATATACGCATTTTCAATGCGTCCCAATTATTAAGCTGAAGGATCAAGTGTAGTTCTAACGGGAATTACCCAAACCATCAATCTGCTGATTATGAATGTGTAAACTAGTGAGCAGGGTACACCCTGAGCTGGTAGAGGAAATTGCTTGGTAGATTTTGCAGCTAAACTCTTTGAAGATTATTGCCTAAAACGGCATGCACGAGCAATTTAATGGAAGTGAGCATGAAGCCAAAGCATTGTGACCCAGTCGATTACCAAGATAACCAAGTATTACTCAAATTAACCATACCCAGACTCCTAAGTAAGTCCAGTATTCAAGGAAGCTTCCACTAAACTTGACAAATCTCGATTATGTTCTAATTTTCTTACCATTGCGTGTTTTTGCTTCTAGGCTACTTTAGGCCGCCTAAGCAGAGTCCTCTTAAACCCGAGTCTTCGGCGATGCCGGAGCATCTACCCTGGATATCATAAGTGTCATTCCAAGGGAAAGACCGAAAAAAAACTCTTGCCGTATGTCGTCAAATGATATTCATCCTTGGCTAATTATGAAATGAGTGGCTTCAACCGCCTTCCGTTTGGAATCAGTGCGTACTTCCTTCTATTATAGTATCCAATCATGTGAAAGTAGGTTTTTTTTACGTTGCTAGGATCATGGATTTATTTGTTTCTAAATTAAGAGACGAGAAGTGAGTCGACTATTAATCAGCAAAGGATATTTGTCTAGAAGCCTTGGCTACTCTACGAGCTGCCGAAAGCTTGGTGTCACCTCCTCCAGTTCAAGTTCACTATGTATGCTTTCCTAGCATGACCGCGGAATGAAACCTTCGGATCCCAACAGAACAGATATAGCTATGCGGGGTCTTTTTGTCTCCCGTTCAACGCTACCTTGTATCTAAAAAAAATGGCAGATACACTTCATGCCAGCAGTTCTTTCCCACAGTTTGAAAACCCTAATCTTCCGACTTTAATCCTCGCATTTTTGCCACGAACTAGTCATATTATACCTGCTATCTAAAGCCAGCTTCCCAATTTCGTGCTCTCTAAAGGCCCTATAAGAGCACAGCCCTGTTACTCCGTAAAACTTACTAGGGAAGCTCTAAAGTTCAAAACTTCTTCCTTCAACTTCAAGAATTCCTCCTTTGTAATATTAGGGGTGTTGTATACCACATTAATACCGTGAGTCCTAAATTCCTCGGCAAGCCTATCCATTCGATCCCATGGATACTGATAGTCCTTATCAATGTCTCCATAAAACCAGCCTTCTGGGAAGAAGCTGATCTGGATCTGCTGGAGAGAAGACTTGCGCTCCATAGAAGATTTAGCAAATGCTCTAACCCAGTCTTCTTCAAGTTTAGCAAATCCCTCCAGACCTCTGGAACACTGCTGATCTTCGAGTCTCATATCCCAGCGAAATATCAGCAGGTTCGGTGCAACAAGATTGGCCACGGGAATGGTATCAATGCCTGTTAAATCGCGTGACATACAAAGGGTGTGCAATTGATGAAATCCAGAAAGATCACAGTCCTGCACACCGGACTGGGATAGTAGCTCGTGAATGTTAATATGGCTTAACGAGGCTTTTTGATGTGACAGTATCGCCTTCATTATACTCAGGTTGTATCTCGTTAATGCGTAGTTACCACTGTAATAGTCGGACATTGGCAGCGAGAAATGAAACGCTTCCAACCTGGCCGGCCACATCACGAGCGCTTCAAGAGCAGTTGCGCTTTGGGTGAAATGGCGCAACTTGAGCTCTGTGAATGGAGCAGTGCCCGCCTTAGCCTGGACCAAAAGAATATTAGCGGTCGCTCAGAAACGACGATCGTAGTTCTATCAACTGATAGAAAGGGGACACGGTTCATTCTCACCTTCATTAGTTTCCAATCTTGTTCAGTTCCAATCTGGGATACGCCAGTGAGGTCCAGAGTTCGTAGATATGCGCTACTATCCAAACACTCGAGACCTCTAAATAGAGTAGGCAAGTCCAAAGGCGCATTTTGCTTTCCAGATATCTGGAGAAGCCTGAGATGTGTTAGGGACTTTGGTACCTGATTATATAAAACGGACAGATCCGGTAGTGTTGGCGCCCTGGAAAGCTCGTGCCGTGTGTCATTAGAAAATGACGCAAAACTGATGCGAAGCTCTGTAGTATTAGAGAGCCACTTGAGAAATTCCACAGCAATATAGCCCAGATTCGGGGTGGTGTCTTCCCTATCATGACGTTCCATTGAGCCCAACCAATTCGACCCAAACTTAATGACAAGACTCTGGCAATGTTGCCGCAATGACTGGTTTGAGCAAAACGTGCGATGAAGCAGCTTGGTACTACGAATATCCCGATGTGCCCAGGATGCACCATTGCATAGTATATGGATGTCGCGATAAAGAAGCGGTGTAATAAGACGATGGAAGCGTCGGCAAACAAGGGCCAGCGACGCTGCACGAGAGCCACAATCATGGGGAACAGAGGCGTGCAGAATAGGGGCCAAAAGCTCATCGGGTAGACTGAGAATGGTGGTCATCTTAACAAAAAACTGAGTGATATCGTTGGGTTGTTGTGGTGGAAGATAACATATACAATGGATCCAACGCTTCAATCTTATGCTCAGGTACCGAAGACCGCTTTTAGGCAGCCACATTGATATGAGGCTATCGGGGAGGCAGACGCCTTAATATGCATGTAAGCAGAATAACCGACACCAGACTCTAGGTACCTAATATGCAACCCGAGTACTGACTCCTCCATAGTCACCATGATTATAAAGCTAACAACAGTAAGTAAGCTTACTACTAAAGAAATTTAATATAATATTCAACTAAATAGGAATATTCCGCATAATGTTTCAAAATTAAAAAATCTGCCTTGTCGGAAAAAGGAGTAATATCACATCATGATAACTAAATCATATGAGGGGAATGGAGTAGACACCATCCTAGTTAAACCTCTGTCTGTCTTTGGCTATTTGGCTCAATAACTTTGCAGTTGATTTGAAAACCAACTGATAATCCTGAACTAGACACACATTTCCTGTTTGTCTCAGCGTCACGGTGGGTAATATGCGATAGAGCGCCTTCCGCATCTGAGACGCGATCTATAGTTTGGATGCCAGATCTTGAGAGGGACGCTTAAATCTCTATCAGAACCTCTCGCTCCTTGATCCTTAACTCTAGTGCTGGATCCATAGTCATTGCAAGGCCCACATTGTGAATAGCTGTTGAAGCTCCCTCGGGCAACTCCCAGTCATAATTCATAAGGAGATGGATCAGAATAATCTTGACCTCATTTGAAGCAAAGAAACGACCTGGACAAGCGTGTTTCCCATGCCCCCACGCGAGGAAGTTGTCGGACGTAGCGACCAGCTGAGCGCTTGCTTGCTTGTCGGGATCAGATCGCATTTTGTAGAACCGGTAGCCATCCCATTTGTCGGGCTCTGCGTAGATATTCTTGTCCCACAGTCTACGAGATGTGACAGCGATACTGCTGCCTTTCGAGACACGGGTACCGTCACTGAGCATGACATCTTCCGATGCCACGCGGCGCATAACAACTATCAACTTGTGAGTTTGGGGAAAGCTTGAAGGGAGACTTGGACATACCGTTTCCAATCGGCTTTAGGCGCTGACTTTCCTTGATCACACTGTCCAGAAGCTTCATATTGTACAGTGACGTCTTGCGCCAGCCATCTTGCTTCAAGATCGTCTGAATCTCGTTCCTTAGCGGCTCCAAGATTTCGGGATTCTGGGCCAGCCTGATCATCACTTGAGTCACCAGATCTGAGGTGGTGTGGATTGCAGCAACAGAGAGGATCAGCTGGGTCGACACTGGATCATATGATTCCCCGTTTGCTGCTCTCTCTACCCATTCAATAGCATCATCTGGTGCCTCATATTTGACTCCATCCTGCTGCGCTTGCTTCTTCTTCAGACGACGATCCTCGAGGACGGGGGTTATGATCTCTTTCGCCTCAGCAACCTCGCCGCGAAGTTTCTGACAACTTGGCATGAACCAGTGCACCAGAGGACGAAGAGGTGCCGGCCACAGCCGGAGTTTCTCGGCAGCCATGAAAGCATCGACTGTGTAGCGCAGGGTGATTTCGAGCCATCTTTTGTTGCGACAAATTTCCGTACCCAAGAACACGCGGGATGAGACTCGCGCGACAACATGTGCGATTGTGCTCCTAATGGCAATGGTATGCCATTCTTTAAAGAAACATAGTGAGCATCTGCCTTTAACTCGAGGAGTGGAACATTTTACCTTTATCAGATGGGAGCACGTCTGAGACAGCCAGGGCAGTCTCCTCGGCAAGCGGTGCTGTAATTTGGTCTATTATCAATTAGCATTTAGCCTAGATATTAATGGCCGAGACCTACTGAGAGACTTGGTAATGTCTTTAATGATGACGTTTTGCAGTATGCGCGAATCGTGACCACCCTCGCGGAAGCCGTCGAAGCCGGGCGTATTGCCATGGAACGCCTGCACCTTAGTCAGTCATATTTTGAAGAGAAAGTGCCGCGACTTACCTTGAGCGTCCATTTTGAGAAGTTCAACCTTTCATCGTTCCGGATCTCATTAGCTAGATTGGGTGGAAGAATTGTGACTTCGCCAAAATCAGCATTGAGGCGCGCGGGCTTGTGAGGATTCGCATTGAACCACGAATCCACCATTGCATTGCCATTGGCGACGAACAGCTTCTTCACTCTGTGAGCTGTAAGCTCAAGCCCATTCTTCGGATTGAGGATCGGAATAGCATCTCGGGACAGGCGAGCACGGCTCAACAGGACAACGAAGACAGTGGTTGCCAAGAAGAATGACAAAGTCGGGAGGTCAAAATACGACATAAGGGCACTGCTTGTCGGCAGATGATGTGTCGAGGAATTTGAAAGAGTCATTTTTGCTTTGACCGTGAACCAAGGTGTAAAGATGCCAGCTTATGGTCAACTATTGTGCTTTTTTGAGTTACTGCCTTAAGTCCTAGACGTTGAAGCAACGACCAGAAGAACTTATATAGATATTATAGCCCCCTTTCCAAGGGGTTTCGGCATAGATGATGAGCCCGATCTTTCCGGGCTGGCTGTAACAATTTGATTGTTACCTTACGCGTAGGCGCTCGCCACATAAAACTAGAAGTGAAGAACCCACAAGACGAAAGTCAACTTCATCAACATGCAGTGCATTGATCTGCAATGCCACTCTTGCATTGCTATCATTACCCTGGTCTCCTGAAACATGACACAAATGGCTCATTTGGGTTACGACCGGCACGCTGAAGACTTGCATCAAGTTAGGGCCGAGCCGTACCGCAAGCATGTCACTCTTGTGCATCGATAATCCCCGAAAATACCCCAGACGGAGCACATCTCTCTCGGGGGGCCAGTAGCTTCCGGTGCTCCGACGAGTCGGCATCGCACTGAATTGTAATTCGGATGCCTTAATTGGCTGACTTGCACTTCCGTTTCGATTGCCTAATACTATGAATCCTAGTCTGCATAAATGTATAAATATGATGGGAGGTTTGGCCTTTCCCCGCAAAAATTTGGGTGCAATGTGGCTTCGTCATCTGAGATGGGGACACTCTTATTTATATTTTGCTCTATCAACGACTTGGATTGAGCTTCTAGCAATGAGTGCCAATTTCTGGACGTCCTTGATAATCTAATAACTCAAGCTCGCTAAGAAGTTGCCATAGTCGCTGTCTTGTTGGTTCTGACGCCAAAGCATCCGCGTCGGACATTAGCTTTAACTCCTCGAGGTAGGGCGCACCCATATCTCTGACTCTCTTGACTACCGAGAACCCTACCGACTCCAAGATGGCGCGGGGGATATTTTGGAGAATCTCGAGAACATCACTGAGAGAGAAGACTAGTTAGTGTGAACTCTGGGCATGCTTTGGATAGAAGGTTGTACTTGCCTAATGATTGTATAATGCGTAAGTGGCAGCTCTGCTACTGGTCCGTAAATCTCCAGGAGGTTGGACTTGATGTACAGAAAACTAATCATGATGTTGAGCATTTGCATCTCATGTCCGCGTGTTGCTCTCGGGTCTCGCGATAAGCCACCCCTCCACCTCAGCTCGGGAGGGAGGCCATCCAATATGCCTTGTAGACGCTCAAGGCCGCGATCAATGACTTCGCGTGGGCTCTTATGCTCGCTATCTGCTTTTGCGTGCCACCACGTTAGGATGAGGTCTGCGTGCGCGTTGAAACCAGTCACGTAATCTATAGTATCATCATGGCTTGTGCATATGCCTGGGATCAGGTCTTCTGCGGGAGGCAATTCCTCATCAGATAAGCATCGGGGTCGTAGTCGTGATTGATCACCACTTAGAGGGTAAAAAGTGCAGCCCGGCCACCCTTTTGTATCTAATCCTCTGCAAAGTTGCACAAGGTATGATGATTAGCAAAAAAGGATGAAGGCGATAACAGGTAAATGGGTCACCAACATGTCCAATACTGTAAGCTGCCAATAAAGGCGCTTCAGTATTTCTTCGTCATGAACACTCTTCCTTTTGGGCTGAAAAGACAGAAGCCACTGAACTCCCGACATGGCACTTTTGAGGTTATTAAAGACGTCAAAGCCGGTGAAACCATGTTCACCCATCTGGGCCCAAGCCAGCAAATAACACGCCACGCACCAATCCACACTACATCCCATGGTAGGCTGTAATAATTTGTAGTGCCGGACTAGATGGAGGCTCTTCGAGACTGTGATTGTGCTATATCCGGCAGCAGCTTTCCGAGGCAGGGTGGCAACAGTGGCAGCGCACATTGAAATCACCAAAGCCAGGAATTCCGAGTTTGCTTGCATCTCTCCTCCTTGGAATCGTGATATAAAGTACCTTCTGTGCAATAGCGGTTGAATAGGGTAAAAGAACTCGAACCAGTCATCAAGAGCTTGCTGTATGGACGAGGGAGTTCCTAGAAGCGAGAGGAGAAACTCGCTTTGGGCGTCAACCACTTGTGAATCTTCGGACGATGGACCACGGTCACGCAGGACTCGTTCTACAGTCGTCTCGTGGGGAGACTGCGGCAAGCCATTTGCGTCACGGCTATCGGTAACTGGACTAGCAGGAGTATGGCTAATCGAGACTGGTTAATCTCCAACCGTGTACTGAAGCTTCCAGAAAGGGCTACTACCGATTAGGCCTTCCTCTTTTTTGCGGCTTAATATCCCATGTACAACGAGCTCCCATCGACGAGCAGCTAACGCAGGTGGAATCATCATGGGCCGCCCAACGGCACTAATTCGGGCGTGAGTCAATAACGAAACGTGGTCAGCCAGTAATGATTCTCCATACCTTGACCTTTCTGCGGCGGCAAAGATCACATGCTCTTGTTATCCGCGGTTTCTCGGCTGTGGAACTAGGGCCAGGCTGGGCTAGATTATCCATGGAGGCATAAAGATAGAAAATCGCCGAGCAGCGGTGATTTCTCAGTTTCTTCAATCATTGATGGCCTCAGAATTTTACGGAGGAGTCTTTGGTAGTTCCGGGGTTGCTATGAATGGGGAATTTTCGGTCTTTTTCTATAAGTATGTGGATAGGGGTAGGCTAAAAAGGCCAATCATGATTCATAACCGTCAGACAACGGGGGCATTTTCGGGTGTTTTCTCTTTGGGTATGATCGACGGCGTAACATTGCATATGCAAAATAATGGTCAAAAAGCTGAAAACTACGCTCATATAGGCGCTACGGAGCATTGACGGCACCGAATATCCGAGCAAACCTGTTGAAGAAAGCTCTGGTAATATCGGCCAAAATGCATATGTATATTTGCGATAGATGGGCGTAGCTTTGTCGTTCTAGATTTTCTCATATTGGTATGAATTATAATACGTATTTATTCTTCAGAAAGCTTCCCTTCACGCTCAAATACACATTATTGCATGAAGCCATCGGACTTTTAACTTTTCTCTCGATCTTATGTAACTGCTCAAAAGTTGCAAGTGGTTTTCTACTCTTTTCCCGCCTACTAGGCTTCACCTGATATGCACGCTGATGTAGTTGGCGAATAATAATTGTTGAGGGAAAGAGTCTTCTCCAATCGACAATTGTCAACCTTGACGAGTTAACACAAATACGGGAGAGGCAAACCGGTCGCAGTTTGCGCGAGGGAGCCTTGAGGAACGAAGCTGGCTATAGCCATCTTCCGTTTCTTCTGTCGACTGGATCGGTTTGCAAATTCGAATCTTCCGTGTGTAAAGAATCTTATTTGTAGTAGTGCTATTCTGGAGACACTCGTGGTGCCAATCGGTACATGTAACTTTGGCGCATACCCTATAACCCAAGACCATATCACACGTTCTACATTACGTACTTAGCAGTGGATAGCGTAACAGAAAGGAATAGAAAAAGGTTAGTGGATCATACCGCCACTGTCGCACGACGCACCAGAATCCCCGGCACGATAATTGCGCTTCTTACGGCCGGCGCGGAATGGGAAGAGGTGAGTTTCACTGGGCCCAACATTGCTTCTCCTTCTCTACTGATCACAACCTCGGCTGTAGCTCGTAGTCGTCATCTCCTCTCTTGCCCAGGGGCGCTCCTCATTGGCAGTGGGCAATATTGTCGGGTCCGCCATCTCGAACATACTAGGTGCCTTTTCGCTTGGCCTCCTATTCGGTGAGAGAGGGAGGCCAGCTCAGTTCGATAGGAGCTCTCGAATATACTCTCTCCTCTTACTAGTCATAACCAGCTTTGTTACGCCCGTCACATATTTTCACTACATGACGATCTGGCTGGCCTGTGGTGCCATTCTAATCGCCGTTTTCGCTGCCTATTTTGTTTCGATAAGCTGGGCCATCAGTAAGGGTAGCCTTGTTGCTCCAGAAGACTCGGATGACGACAGCAGTGATGACGACAGCAACACAGATTCAGCGAGGACATCCATCGATCAAGAAGAATCACGGAACCGGGAGACTGATGCGTTGTTACACCAAGGGGGTAACTCAGCGCCAGCACCTCGGTCGCAGGGGCGCACACATCGCCGGCGCAGTTTAGGATACCATGTTTTCTACTTAGTCCTTGGCTTCCTATCCATCTGCCTAGCTGGCTATGTCTTGGCCCACGCCGCGACGAACATTGCGGACGGTATCGGCATTTCTGACGTTCTTTTTGGCGTCATCATCCTCTCCATTGCCACCACACTTCCTGAGAAATTCGTAGCCGTTATAAGCGGCCACCGAGGACATATTGGTATCCTTGTGGCTAATACTGTTGGAAGCAACATCTTTCTTCTCTCCCTCTGTATGGGAATTATCATGCTGAACACCTCCGGGGAATTCGACGGCAGCAATGTCAACATCACAGAACTAGCAGTGTTGTGGGGCTCAACTCTTGCTTTCACGTTAACGGTTTGGTTTGGCGGCAGGCTCGACCGCTGGATTGGAGGCGCGATGCTGGCTGGTTATGTTGCGTTCATCGTGTTAGAGTTTACAGTCGTTCACAAGATCACTGATACGCCGTAGTACTCATAGATGGCCGAGATACACCACGCCCCTCCACATCGTTCCCAGGACACAATCCAAGTTCCAACTCAACGAAACTGAAAGGTTGACCCTGCCCAACATCGAGAGAGGCTCAAATAAAGAGGCTATTGGAAGTTGCTCTAAGCATGGGATGCGCTTTGGATGCTACGAGTTTCCATAATTGAAATCTTCTCTGATGTGGCTACTTCAACTCAATTTCTTTTTTATAACAACGATCTAGAGATGCCAATTGTGACTCTAAATACGTACGACTGATCCTCTATCTATTGCGAAATGGGTGCTGCGCTGCGTCTGCTTCCCAAATTTCACTCGCGGTCGAATTAGTTAGTTGAAGAACTTAACAGCGTCAGGACAACCCTCCGAATGTCCGGTGGAACTGAGTCAGTGCCTCTCTTGGGCCTCAACCATAATTGGGAATAATACCTTCACTCTGATCTTGGCATGTACCTTTTTGCAGAAGCACACCATACCAGGTGTGTCTCACAGAGCAATATAATATGCCTCGCAACCTCCAATACTGAATCTGGCAGAACATCATCGCCTGGTTGTAAGAGTTCTTCCATACAATCTAACACTCTTAGAGCACTCTCATTGTGCATCTTGACGACTAGAGAAATACACTTTGCAAACATTGCAGGGTCACGGTCGTAGGCGTTGCTCAACCCCTCGTTCCGTAGAAGCACAAGGACAGAATTGAGTTCATCGCCGTTCTCAATATCTTTTTCCAGCCCGAGAAGATCATTTTGCAGTCCTGCGGTGCTGCAGACCTCTTGTTGGAGCTTCTTCCATGCAGGCCTTCGACGCCAGCTCTCTGGAAGATTGACATATTTAATCACCTCAAAGAAAGGGTCAAGTGCGATCGTGCGTCTTCGGATAGACATGTATATAGATAGGTCATGAGAAATCTGACCATCCAGGAAGTGAAACTCGGTGATATGAGCATTTAAAACTTCGCACATTGCCTCAAAAAATACGTCACAGACACCTGCGGGAAGATGAAGCGTGCTATGATTGTATAGGATCCGGGTTAGCCTTTGAACCCTCGTGTCGGGGGCCCTTGCTGTTTGATAAATGTTAGTAAGGTCTCCAGCCGTGCAATCCCCTTACTTGTCCGACTTTGGGATTCTTACCCTTGGTGTGAGGCTTACGATTGTTTCTCAATATGTCAATACAGTCAGACAAAACAGCCTCTCCATCATAGGGGCTAAGACACTCCAAGATGTCGTCCATGACGCAGACAAAGGCGAGCCACGCTGCGAAGCAGATCCGCACGCTATCCGCTAGGTAACCAGGGAAAAATCTCTCGATGACACCGACCTCAACTCTGCTCTGTTCTTCAAAGGTCTGACATGATGTAGCACCTGGATGCATGGATACCTTGAGTTCCAGATGGGCCTTTTGCACTGCTGAGACAGTGGTCGATGTGCCGAGGTGGGTTGAGTTGAGAGCCATGGACTTGGACCTTTTAGGATTTGTATCAAAATTGGGGACTTGCAACTAATATGTGTTAGTGGTAGAACATATGATGTATTACAGGAAATTGATCGTTGTACCTGAAGGCATATATCATGCTTCTTGAGAGGGACATTTACAAATTTCAACTGGCGTGGGCGCGGGAGTTGGAGTTGATTATGCCCTAAAAAGACCCGGCTGAGTCTCATCTTCTAGAAATAAATTCGATACGAAGGATCGTGATATGTCAAATGAATGCAATATGCTGGTTGTATTCAGGAAAAGTGAGAAATAAGGATGTGTGGCTATAGGCATTCAACAGTGAGGATCCCTCATCTTATATATTTCTGCATAGCTCCATCCCTATACCTCCTTTTGATACTTTTTTGCCAACCACTCATCCAAGCCAATACGGATTTCAATGACCAAAAGCAGGCTGATAAGCGAAGAGGGTATCGAAGATTCCCGTGGATGTTGAATCTTGTCCGCGATTAGGTGGGTTGTTGGCCAAAAGCAGTTAGTTCTATGCACAGAGCCAGCTGAGGACCTTCAATTCTTGGCTGACATGGAAACGCACTCCTTGTGAAAGTAACGGTCTGTCATTGGCCATCCGGCTGTTCGTTAGACGGCCTGGCCGTGCCCTCTAAGGAACAGTAACCAGTCACTTGGGCACTGTTGAATTCTTATATCCATGCACGACGCTGTCTCAACCAATCTCATTGGCTATATGTCCAGCTGAAAAAAACTAGTGAGAACCCCGAAGTCAAACTATCACGACCAACGCACCCGATGAGGCATTCCCCGCACATTGCGCCATTATACGAACAATATTGTAGCCCATATCCTTTGTTCTTTCTGCAGACTGCCATCCACACGCGGACAAACCCCAAGGAAGAGGGATACCAGCGTGTGATTGAAGGATGTGATTTAGTGACATCCACCCTCCACATAGTTACCGAACACAAGACTTTGTCCTCACGATTGGCTGATGCGCCTGGGGTGAGAAGTCTCACCCATAGTCTCAAATATTTATCAAACGCCACGCACATACATAGACGAGCCACCCATTCGCAGAGAAATATATTGATCGGGCAGTAAGGCTGCCGTAGCCGGTTTTGAAAGCAATAGCGGCAGCGTGGCGTACATTAGCTTGCGTCACCCTAGTTTAATTCATCCATGCATGTGTCGGACGATTCTCCAATGGCCCAGTGGTGCCAAAACTGTCCGATGCAGGATTATCCAAGACTGATAGCCAGTAGATCAAAGTGTAACAAAACCTTGCACAATGAGATTATTCTGTGTGTTTCTTTGTACTGGCGACTGAAGTCGCATAATAATCTTTTAGACCCCGGAAACCTGCAGCAGAGAGTATTGTTGTGATCGCTAGAAACACTTATGAGAAGAATTGACTTACATCTAACCAGTGCCACTGAAGAAAGAGAGAAAAGCCCGGTGCTCGAATTTGGCAGATTTTTGGAGGCAAGACAGCACTTGGGCTTTGTAGAACTGTGGCAAACTCGGTTGCCAATGCCTTAGGCCCGTGTACTTTGCGTAATTTGGCACCGCGAGGTCAGGTATATCAATGATATATGGTAATGGATGTCTTCCTTCCACCCTTATCTAGGTAGTAGAAATCTATGCTTAGGTTATGGACAGGCTGAATTGGGGCGTGATAAGTTCAGACTTTATTCAAGTTTCGGGCATGAATTGTGTGGTTTGGTTGGGGCTAAGCTCCGGTGTATATAAAAAGAGAAAGATTAGTGCTTTGTTAAGGATTATATAAGCCCAGGGGCTATGACACTAAATACAAGCTTGTTATAAGTCAAAATTTAAGAATATCTAGCGCCGTTAATAGCATTCTTATCAAATAAAGTAGTCTATGGCTACGCCCTCTCTCAAAAGGGGGGCAACTTCCGTTTGCCTAACCGGAGGGTAGTTATTTTGGGCGAGAATTAACTTCCGTTTCTCTTACGTTAGAGTTTATTTCTTGACGTCACTATCTTACTGAAACAAAAGGAATGGTGGCTTGGTAATTGTAGATCACTCGTGTTTTGTCATGGCCTCTTGGCCCCGATCCACATCTGCTCCAATCTAGGTTGGTGATCTACCTGCTGTAGGAATATCATCCTTAGTTGCCTGTGAGTACTTATGCGTTGTTCTAATCTCTACTATATGGAGGCTTTTCTCGGCCAACTGTTAAGCAGAGCACAGCATGTGAACACAAACCTTGTTTCAGCGATCAGCCAGCTACTGATGCAAGTGGCAATTACGTGGCCCTCCAGCGGCTGTCATTTTTGTTACTTTGTCTCAGGTAAGCTTACATTGGGCGGTAAGCCTTAAGTCTTGGGGCGAGAGGCTATCTGGTGAAAGAACAGAAGATCAGGACCACAACAGAAGTGTGATTGGATTTCGGGCCATCGGTTTGTTATAGGGATTACTATGATTCATCTATTCGAACTACCACATTGAATCCAACCTATTAAAAACGCTTGACAACGATACTGTGTAGCTTCATAACGCATGTCATGCTAACTTCCGCTTTCCAATTAAATTGAATGAAAAAGTGGTTTTAGAGACATGATATCATCCAAGACTTTACTCTCGAAAGGCCCGTAAGCAGAAAGGAATGATGGAACAAATGTCTCAAGAACTTGGGACTTCCGCATCTCTATAGGTGTCTTGGCTTCTGTCATCAATCTATTTTCTTTCACGCTAAAGCTAATCGATTCAACTATAAAAGATAAGAGCGGTGCAGCATTTATAGAGCTCTATATCAATCAGTTTAGTCTTCATCTTCCACTTTCATAACTCCATCAACTCGAATTATAATTCCATCCCAGGCATTATGAAGATTGCTTTTGCTCTTGTCGCTACCATGAGTGCTTTTGGCATGGTCTCAGCCATTGCCGTGCCTCAGGACGGGGCGGTCCCAGAGACACCTCCTGAGCTTCAGGAGAGGGCTTGTATACCGAAAACAAGTAAGATTCTCCTCCAACCTGCAAGTGTCTCTTTTCTTTGAGGAGATCACTAATGTCTCAAATCTTTTAGGAACTTGTTATCTGGTTGGTGGTGCTCGCTGTTGCAGCCCGTGGAAGTGCACAAAGATTACCAGAACTCACTACGAGTGTCGCTAGGTGAAGCAGATCGGCTGATACCCAGAATTGGGGTATGAAGCTCCCGTATTTGCAAATGTTGCTAGTATTAAGAGATGAAGGTCCTTAGCGGTCAAGTAGGCCTACAGTTGTCAAGAAAAGATAAGGATTAACCCTCTATTTCAACCTTAAACAAGTGACAAGAGATACGTAGTGAGGGTGTTGATTGGTAGTCTACCCCCTACAAGTCCCTCAAGCTAGGGTGCCATAAACTCGTAAACATGACGTTCCATCCATGATCCACCACGCGTTGGGCCTCCCTCTCCCAGTCCCCATCGAGCTGCAAGGCTGTATAAATCGGCCAACATGACCCTCATCAAGATTACCGACTCTGACAACGCAAGAAATCCGCCAGTTACTATTTAACTTTGCACCGATCAACTCTCTTTCACGACGGGAAGGGTTTCTGGTCCCCATGGAGAGTTTCTCCTTCCCCTTTAGATAAGTCAAATTGATGCCTTGCTCTATTGTGAGACCGACACAGGGCTATGTTGCTATAAAAGATTTCGATGGCCCCTATCACTGGCCGAAAAATGATAACTTTACCGAACTTTACCGCCTCTGGTCCTTTTTCCAGTATATCATGACATCCAATGAACCCGGGGTTCTAAACAATCAAAAGGTCACCCTTTCAATGACCAACTGGAAGGTTTCAAGTACGAGCTTCTACCCCAATTTCCCTCTCCGTCTGTCAACTGATTTGATTCGCCATGGAGGCATGAAATCCGACATACCCGCGCTCGATGCCAACTTGCTCTGCGCGATGGCGAGCTAGGGTTCAACTAGCAAGCATAGGCACTGCTTCGCTACTGCGTCAAGGGAAGCCGTAGTCGCACTTCATATCCCTCGAAGCCCCATCTCAACTGTTTTCTCACGACGAGGCGGCTTTGGAGCCCGAGCGCATCAAGAACAGCGAGCTTTGGACTCTGCTCTGGATAGCCACCGAGTCTGCTGGTGATGCAGTCTACCTAAATCACACTGTTTTCCCATTAGAAACAAAACCCGGCTCGTTCCCCTCTGCTTGGACGGGACTGGCACCTAATACCTAAAGGCCACGGTTGTATCTTGCCCCGGGTTCTCGGCTCGCATCGTTCACGTAATCGTCAACTTCTACTCCAAAAAGGTCCCAATTTGCATGTCCGAAATCTTCAACCTAAAAGGCAGCATGCAAGCGAACCCCAACGAGGTTGAGAATGTGCTTAGGTGGCTCATTGGTGAGCCTGTGGGAATGACTAAGTAACCACGTTGTCTATTCCATATGTTGGTCTTTTCAGTTAGGGTCTTTCCAGCTAGTCTCATTCCCTTTTTCTCTCTCTCTCTTCTCTCTCTTTCTTCTTATTCCGGCTTCATCTTTGGCGCATTGCATTTTTGCTACACATAACTGCATCTACTTGCTAAGTTATAGTGGTTAGCACAGCCAAGTGTGGTGAGGGTTTGATCACAGCCTGGGGAATGATTCATAGACGCCCTCGTTTATGAAAGCATTGAACTCATTCGAGCCGGCAACGGACATTTAATTAACCTCAGAATTGAAAGATACCACGCTGCAAAGGAGACCAAAGCTTACATACCGTGGTATTTTTCTTTTATTTTGCACTCACGTAAGCTCACGTATCTTGACAGCGTTGAGTAATATTCCACGGTGGTTGCTTCTAATTTTAGGGCCTCTTGATGGGGCTTACAAGTCGTACTGGTTCGCCAAGAGACCCCTGTGCCATTGTTTCAAACTGCCCGTGAAGGCCACTCTGGCAGTCTGCTGCATCTCCACACAAACCAGCTGGCGCGAACGCTCGAGACCACATATCACCCGGCCCTGTGGTTCACCCAAGAGCTCTTGTGACACCCAGGCATCATGCGTTCGGCGGAGATATCAGTTAGCTCGCATGTCCTCAGCGAGTTCAACACTCGCGAGGCCAGCGAGCTCCATGAGGCCATGAACGAGCTCGGCGCCTGCGGCGTCGGCCGGATCGTCAATCTGCCCCAGATCATTGTCGTCGGAGGGCAGTCGTCCGGCAAGTCCTCCGTGCTCGAGGCTCTATGCCGCATCCGCTTTCCCATCAAGGACGGCCTCTGCACACGGTTTGCAACCGAGCTGGTGCTTCGGCCGTCGCTGGAAGGCAGAGTCAGGGCCACCGTTCTGCCGGCGGACAAGAACAAGCCGCCGCAGCATTTCCAGACAAGCGGGTTTAGGGAGGAGGACCTGCCTAGTATTATCCAGGATTCGCAGGGGTACATGGAACTCTCCGGGACTGGATTCTCCAAAGACGTTCTTCGTCTTGAGATTGAAGGGCCCAATTTGTATCCTCTGACGTTGATCGACCTACCTGGTCTTTTTGAAAACGTTGCGGAATCGCAGACGCTGAGCGACAAAGAAACGGTGAATGCCATTGTGTCGGAGTACATGAAGCAGCCACACAGCATTATCCTCGCTGTCATCACAGCCGATCTTGATCTCTCAAGACACGGCGCTCTCGACCGAGTCAGAGCCGTCGATCCTGATGGTTCAAGAACCATTGGTGTCATTACGAAGCCAGACCTTGCTCTTCCTGGGACGGCTAGAGAAGCGGCATACGTAAAGTTGGCCAGCAATCTGGAAGGCGCGAATAAGCTGGAACTGGGCTGGCATGCCGTACGGAACAGGACCGAGCTTGAGAAGGATGTCAACTCGCGAGACGACATCGAGGACAGGTTTTTCAAGAACCCGGAATGGGCTTCAGTCCCGAAACAGAATCTTGGCATCTCAAATCTGCGCAAGCGGTTGAGTAGAGTTTCGTATGATCACATCCGAAAGAATCTCCCTCGAGTTATCCGCGACATCGAAAGCAACATGCTGGAACGCGAGAGTGAGCTCGCCCAATTAGGGAACCCTAGATCAAACCTGGATGAGATGAGAGCGTATCTCATTAAGATTGCCAGCGAATTTCAGCGCCTTACCCGTGATGGGATCCAAGGCCGATACGAGGATGCTTTCTTCGGTGGTCTGAGGGATGGAGACTTGAAGTTCCGGGCTTTGCTCAGGAATTTCAACCGCGCCTTTGATCATGTTCTAAATACGAAGGGATCTACGATAAACATCGTTCCTTCATCTTCGTTATCTAATAAAGCAGCAACAGAGGAGCCAACGTCTGAGAGCTTAAAAATTTTCTTAAGAAAATATCCCTACAGATTCCCTGATCCTGTCGCCAGAAAAGAGTCTGATGTTTTGAGAGAGCTACAACACCAAGCCTCAATGAACCAAGGAACAGAATTCCCCGGGCAGCCCAACAAAGACCTTGCAATTCGTTTATTCCAGGAGCAAGCGAAGCCTTGGGAACTGATCGCCCAGTTTCATGTTGATCGCGTCACTCTTGTTGCAAAAGCATTCGTTGATGCAATCTTCACACATCTTGCTGGGCCACCTGACTCCAACCGAACGACCGAAATCATTCTTTCCACATGTGTTGATCCCTTCTTCCATGCAAAGGAGAAGATTTTGAAATCCAAGCTCCAGGAGCTCTTGAAGCCCTACGCCAATGGGTATTCGGTTGCACTCGATGCAGAGTTCCACTCGGCCTTTTCTTTCAAGTCTAATGAGAGAACGACCAACCGGATTTACAATTTGCTTAAAGACAAAAGTGCCGGAGACAAGCTCACTAGATCATTGATATCGGCAGCCGTATCTGATGACAACGACACCAAAGATGGCGAGTATGGTGCGCAGACTGTCATCGACATGATGCGAGCGTACTACGAGGTACCTCCCTTTCTTTCCCCTCTCCCCTCTCTTACGCCCGACACTGATCCAGATCTACAGACCGCGCGACGGACATTTGCAGTCAACGTGATTAACCTCGCTATTGAAAGCTGCCTGATTGCCGACATGCCTTCGATTCTCACACCCACCGAGGTTTCCATCATGCCAGAGCATCGACTCAGGGAGCTGACCTCGGAATCAGAGGATGTGCAGGACCGCAGGAGGCAGGTAAAAGAGGATGTGGATGTCCTCAGAAGAGGACTGGCTATCTGCAAAAAGTATCAGCCCAGGGGCCTCACAGGTATGTCGCTTCAGAATGATCATGGTATAGGTTGCTGACTTGATGCCTGATAAGCCTTCCCATCCCACCCTCAGCCCAGAGTTCCGCTTTCTCTGAATCTCCAGCAGCCAGGCGCGGCACCAAATGGTGATCAAGCGTCCCAGGCACCCCCGTCATCTTCAAGCTTTTACAGTTCCAAGTCCATTGAATTTTCAATGGCAAGGTCTCCCTCGCCGGTGAATAGTCCAGCCCCGGCAAAACCGACCAGGTATATGTTTGGAGGACCGTCTGTCTTTGGGGGGTTTGGAGGATAGGGCAGCCAAGGAAGGGCCAAATAGCTGCTCAATCACCCTTACCCAGCAAGGATTAACTTCATTGTATAAGTATGTCTAAATATTCGTCTTGGCCATGAGAGATATTTCATATTAGCGGACCTTTTTACGGGATATATTCTCGAATTAGTTGTTAGATTGTTATAGATGTACGAGTGAGCATTGGCATTTTTTCCTCCCGATGCTCTTTTGAGATAAATAAAGAATACAATCCTTGAACTCCCTAAATGTAATAACAAAAACTCCGGCTCATATGCATACACGTATTCGAAGAAGGAAAAAAATACAGAAGTAAAAAAACAGTGGGTTAACCGAGCATCATGCTCCAACCCTTTTCAACCATAACATCCAACCAGCTGATATTTTCGCCTCGGTCTTTCCGGGCCCACATCTCTGGGAGGATCTCTAACACCGACAAATTCGTACGAAGATGGTTCATCGAATACAGCTCTCTGAACCGTTGTATGACGATTTGCCTCTCCTTTTGGTCCGATCTGGTCAGCTCGGACCCTGCAGTGAACAGCGGGATCGCCTGGAGATTGATGCAAGCGTTATCTGTTGGTATGGAAGCCAAATCTCGAACAACGCTCAGAGCACGCATCCTGACCATCGCTTCAAGAAAGTCATCGGATTCAGTTTCGCTATCATGTTCGAGGTCCCGTCCCTGGTCGGTAACATCATCGCCGGCAGGAGGAGTCCTCGGGTTCTGCCACTCCTCGATCTGCTCCTGCATCTCTGTGTCCATCATGACGGACAGCTCGAAATGTTCCTGTGGTGTGTTTACATCCTGTCGCCTGTAGCAAATGGCGGCGAGGTTGATCAGCCCATGCATGCGAAAGGCATTGCTCATAAGTCCCAATTCGGGATTTTCTAAGTTCGGCTCCCAGTTCTCTAACTCTTCTTCCAGGACGGCCTCGAGGGCCTCGTCGCGAACTCCTGTCTCGACAACCGATCGGCAGTAGCGTCCCACAGTGCCTAGAAGATAGAAGATGTCTGTTGTATAGCCCGCAATAGGATGATATTCTTGGCCCACGTCGAGCACGGCGGCGTACATCTCACTAGTATTTAGAGGCAACTGCTGGGTGACAGGAACAAGGAACGATGTAGCCATGTCGTAGTACACATAGGCGCCGATGATAAAGTTGAAGTACGGCGGTCGTGTATCTTGGCTCTTGGACTCGGAGAGCATGATGTCGACCAACTCACGTGCATCCTGGAGATGCTGCAGGTCGAATTCGACAGTTGGCGGGCTCGTCCACGCAGTCGAAAGGCCTACAAGCATGACGCTTACGAATTGGGGGAACAGTTCTTGGTTCGAGCCAGACAGACCATTGACCGAGAATCCGGTGGGAGATGCGGGATCCGGATAGTTTCGATGACTGGCGCCGAAGCTGTGTGGGGTGTGCTTGACACTGAGCCAGCGTCGGACGTATTCGAGAATTGGGAATGGAAGATGGTTCTCTTCGGGGCCATTGACCATCAGATGACTGGCTCGCTCCATTGAATACCGCATATGAGATCTTTCATCCGCCTGTGTCCAATTCCAGCGTAGCTTGTTGGAGGCTGGGGCATGCCCGTAGTCTTCATGTTGTCTGGCCCACGGCTCTCGGTGCTGCCATCCAGTGTATCGGGTAGCAGACTGGCCTTGATTGCGGTAACAGTGCCTCGTAGGGATGGGCTTGTCACGCCGTCTTGTGTATTCTGTGCAGCCAGAGGGGCTTCTGTTCCTGATGCTGATGGCGGTCATTGTCTGGGACTCTGGGTGCTGGGCGGGTGTGGGATGTGGGATTGCAGGGAAGATCAGGACTCAATTCAAATGCAAGACGGGAGATCATTCTGGGGGACGGCATGATATCAGTCAATCAATCAATCACACCACACCACCTAGACGAATCTGGGAGGAATCGAGAGACCCTTCCCGACCGGATCCAGTTGCCTCAATTGGGTTCGTTATCTTCCCCCGCCATTATCGTGCAATATGTCGGCAGCACTTCAGTGGCCGGCGGACGCTAACCAGCGCTGGGCTGGCCGGGGTCCCCCGCAAGACTGCCCTATCTTAGGCTATCTTAGGCTATCTTCCAGCAGCCACACGCTGGAAGCCGGTGGAAGGTGTCGCCATTACGTACCTTTCTGAGCACACCGGCTTCTCCGTAAAGGGGCCGGTTCTTATCAAGCATCTTATCTGGGATCTGCCACCTCTGAGATTGCGCGACTCGCACGCCAGCGATACGGCTCCCTTTCCGAGATTGGCCAGTCAAGAAATTCCGATGCCAATTTGAATGGAAATCTCAATGCCAATTTGAGTTCTAATTACCATGCAATGATGGAAAGCCCGTTGGAACGGTACGGCCATGTTAGTGAGAATGGATAGCAGAGCGCGTGTTGTTGTCTTCTATCTTCATTTTGACTCCCTTCTCTGAGCCACCCCCACTCTGGACTCTGGGGCGCATCTTGGGCTTGTTTGAGCCAAGGATAAGGATCATAAGATGGCCTAAATAATGGCACGAGCGTTTCGCCCCCGGCCCCAAAGGTTCCTCCACAGATAACAATCACTCCAACTATGCCGCCGGATGCCGCTCGAGAACTTCACTACTCCTTAGTGCAGACCGGCATGTCACGGGAACAATGCGGAGAGAAGCGTGCGGCACATCATGCCTCATCTGTCCCAAACGCGAGGGCAGCTTCCATTGGCCAACATTTATCCTGGCAAGCCTAAGGTACCTAGTAGTAGCTTCGTGTAAGCTAACCTTGCTGAAATGGGGTTTGTCGGTGTTGCCTTCCTTGCCAGTCTTGTTTACAGCCACAGGAGGGTTTGAAGCTGCATTTAATTTGAGCCCAATGTCCCATCCATCCATTAAAGTCTAGGCCAGCGCAATGAAACTGTATTTTCAATCGATGCGAGACTTCCCCACACCATGGTATGAACTCTGATAAGAGATACACACCTGATCAGATTCTAGTTACTGATCCCCTCGGCAACAGAAAGATGACAATCCCGACGTATGGGGCTCAAAATAGATATTACCAGCCGATCCAGAGCTTCCCATTCATCGGTATTCCGACCGAGGTTGCTCCAGACCCGAACCAACAAGGTATACTGCGCTCGTTTGAATGTCGTAGGCGGCCGCCTATCCATCTTGATAGCGTAGTCTGTTGAACAACTCTGGCATGACCCATGGATTGAATGCGACGGGTCACTTAAAAGCGCGAGAACCTCTTCGGCTCCCACCTTTATGGACGGACATGGGTAGTTATAGGTGCCTAGTATGACGGTCAAGTGGCCGCATATGCGAGGCTGCGAGGCACCTAGAGAATGCATCAGAGACCTGATATCATTATGCTTAAGCTCGAGCACTGTAGCTAGAATCAGGTCTTTCAGGAAGACCGCGGTTGAAAATCTAGCGTTCCAGCGAGTGATATCGGGAGGTCGTTTATGAGATTCATGCAACAAGCGATAATGAAGTTCCTGCATCCAAACGGTGCATGGAAGAGCATCGGCCCCTGACTCCATACAACTTCGGTAGGCAGCCGGAACAGGATTGATTTTATGTACCCTCAAACATTGGGAGCAGGCATCGCGGGTTGGAGAAAGGTCGCGTTCAAGGTGATGATTTAGATCATCTCTGTGTGATTTTGGTCCTTTCCCTGCCAAGAACGGACACGGGGGTTTCCTTGAACTTGAAAGGGCCGATGCAATCCGCCGGAAGCGCTGAACGATCAATGGCTGATCCTCTAGAAAATCCATGATAATATGTGATGGGTCAAAGAGATGGTATGTTTGTTGTCAAAGGTGGAAGAAAGGCTGGGGCGCATCCATTATATATGCGCGCTTGGCATGCGACACGCAACACAAAGTTCTCGTAATTAGAATTACTCATATAGATACTCTAGATATACTAAATACGAATTACTGTGTTCACATCCTAAATTATAAAGAACCTCGGAGTAGCTGGTCCATTATCTCTGGGCCCTTGAACCTTCCTTGACCACCCCTCGTGTTCTTATTTATTAGGGCTTCACACTGCACCGGCATGATATTCAACACAGTTATCCATCTTGGTATCGAGTTCCCTGCCACTTTGATTTTAGGCAGTAAGAGTGGTGAGTACGCAAAGACAAGAGGAAATTTTGACTGTCCCTGAGCCCGAAGTGAGGCTACACAAGTCGACGCAGTAGTAGTTGAAAAGCAAAATATCGAACAAGAAAGAGACGAAACATCAAACACTTCAGGGACGCTTATTCAGGGAGCTGTGTGGAAGATTTCTCAAGTTCAAGGATTTCGATATCTTTCCATCTCTCACTTTCAATATATCGATAGAAAACTACCTAGTTGGAGCTCAAACTACTTCAACCCCCAATCTCTTTCCCCACATATCCGCGAGTAATTCAATTGCAAGCGGATCTTTCCACTACCCTGTGCAGATGTAGTTCCCTTTTTTTTTGTTCATTCCTGTCGACGAGGGAGAAGTGAGCAGGGATGAGGCATCAATCACTGGCTGTAAGTGGTGATTTGTTCCCGCGTTTGTCGGTTCTTAACCCCGCCCATAATCTTGCCGAGGTACTTATTGGAGGTCGGCTTTTCGATGTCTTGACAAGACATATAGGCTATTTCGCTTTTATAATTTGCCATACACATATTCTTTATATACGGCTTGCGTCCTTAGAGTCCCATCGATGTGGTTCAGTGCAATTGTGAGGCATTCTTTCCCGAAAGACAGACGCCGCGCCTAACCGCTTCTCTCTCTCTAGATGAGAACTGTAGAGCTGGGTTGAATCGCAGCCAGACCTCCCATTATATGAGATCATCCATCTGATACATTTAATTTTGAAGACAACTATTCGCGTGTGTCATTATGGCATCTCCACGTACGGTGACTATGGTCCTAGTCGTCCCTACCCTTCAAAGGGAAGCTGATAGACGCTGACTTCAGTTATGCTAAAGAAAAAATACGAACTCCGATTACGGATTTATTCAAGATCAAACACCCCATTCTTCTTGCTGGGATGAACGTTGCGGCAGGCCCTGAGCTCGCTGCTGCGGTGACCAATGCCGGTGGTCTCGGTGTCATCGGCGGTGTCCATTATACCCCAGATATGCTCCGGGATCAGGTTGCGGAGCTGAAGAGTCATCTCATCGACAAAAGCGCTCCATTCGGGATTGATTTGCTGCTTCCTCAAGTCGGAGGCAGTGCTCGAAAGACAAAGTACGAAACCTCGCCTCGATGCAATGAGTTGATATTGACCAGATTGGTGGCTACGACTACACAAAGGGCAAGTTGAACGAACTCATCGATGTGGTGATCCAATCCGGTGCCAAGCTGTTCGTCTCTGCCGTCGGCGTTCCTCCCAAGGCTGTTGTTGATAGACTCCACGCCAACGGTATTTTGTACATGAACATGGTTGGCCACGTCAAGCATATCAAGAAGTGCCTCGATCTTGGCGTCGATATCATATGCGCACAGGGAGGAGAGGGAGGAGGCCATACGGGCGATATTCCCACCACGGTTCTTATTCCTGCAGCCGTCGAGGCCTGCAAAGGGCACACATCCCCCCTGACCGGCCAGCCAGTGCAGGTTATCGCTGCCGGCGGCATTCACAATGGCCAGCTCCTAGCCGCCGCCTTGATGATGGGCGCAACGGCAATTTGGGTGGGCACTCGCTTCATTCTCACCAACGAGGCGGGAGCTTCCGCGGCACACAAGGAGGCCGTTCGGACCGCAGGCCATGACGATAACATCCGCACGCTGATCTACAGTGGAAGGCCCATGCGTGTCCGAAGTACTCCTTATATTGAACAATGGGAAACAACGCGCAAGGAGGAGCAGAAGAAATTACTGGAGGAGGGGATAATCCCGTACGAACATGACCTAGACAAGGCAAGTAGCGACGACAACGACGATGAATTGGAGAGGCTCCAGGCGAGCAACCGCGTGTTGATGGGGAAGTGTGCGGCTGTTGTTAACGAGCTCAAGCCGGCCAAGGATGTTGTTGACGAGTTTGTCAATGACGCCGTGACCTGGATGAAGAGGGGAGAAGCACTGCTTTCTAGGCTGTAGGCTAGATCTCGCATGTTTTTTGTATCCTATGTGCGTGTGAACAAAATATTGTTCTGTTTAGCCTCAAATTCTCCGTATTTTTTCCATCTGATTTCGTAGCGGTAGGTCAAGACATGGAAACCGCTCCCAGCTTGTCGGATTTCCTTGCCCAGCTTACTCGGCGTCGTCCTTCTTGGATCCGGCAACTAAGTGCACTCCGTATGTTTCTGCCTGCCAAGTCCCATGCAGTCTAGTGACTAACAAGATTTTCAACAATCGCCTCATCAAAGATACTACCCATCGCTCGTCATCAAAGTACGAATCCCGTATGGATAAGTTGCCGTAATTAACCCTCCCGATGGCCCCTGCATATCATCGTTGGGGCGAACCACGGGGCGTGTTGTGGATCGATTGGAAACCCAAAGATACGGGACTACGGTGAGGTTAATTCTTAGGCCGTGGCATCGTGACAAAGAACCCGTAGACGGCAACCTTAACGAGCTTGTTTCTCCTCCGACTTCCGGAAAGCCCTTACCCCATGATCTGCCCGCCTTGTGAGTGTATACATCTCTGCTGGATAGACATCTCCTTTGCACGCACATCTCAGCAGTTTGCCACTCACCACCAATCGCCTGGATAAGCTTGTTTTCCGTGCTAGCCGGCACCCCGGGAAATGAATCGGGCGGGGAAGCGTGGGAAACGTCCAGCTCAAACAGGCAGGTTCAAAAGTGCCACAGAAGGTTCCTAGCCTCAGTTGGCTTCCATTCGAAAAGTTCCAATCCGCCAAAAGATAAACATGGTCCGATAGGGAAGCTTGGTTTTGGGGATGATGATTGAAGGCGATAGCCCACAGCTCGCCTCTCTTGGAACTTCCGAGAGTACTACCGCCTTGTTTCTTCCTTCCCTGCCAGATTTTCCCATGATATAGCCTTGGGTCGCGGCAATCTGAGCACCGGGGCATCTCCAATTGGTTTCAGATACTTTGGAGGCAGCGGAGCCCAGGCCAATACACAATGGTGAAGCTATTCTTCGGGGCGGTTGCGACTCTCATCGCTTCAGTCGCATTTCCTTCCTTTGCTGCGGCCCAGAAGCTCCGTGTACAAGTCTCAGTCGCTGACGGCATCCTCAATGGCACTGTGGACGGCCGCCTGGTGCTCATCTTTGCGCCAGAAGGCGTCGATCCTCTGGACGACACGGACGTGACCAGCACACCCAACCAGTTCTACGGCCTCAACGTGAATCAATTCAGCGAAGGCTCTACCGTTGTGCTGTCTGGGGGAAGCGATGACAACACCACCGCCGGGGTCTACGGCTATCCTCAGTTGAGCCTGGATGCGCTTGCGGCTGGGACCTACAACGTCCAGGCCTTCCTCACCAAGTATGAGAACGCAACGCGAAGCGACGGCTCATCCATCAATATCCGCTTCCCCTGCGGCGACGGATCAGCCAACATCGATGGGTTCGGCAGCCTCAAGACCACGGCGGCAGACATGGCAGTGACCGGCGGCGAGCAGACGCTGGAGCTCACGTTCGACCAAGTCACCCCCGTCGACGCATTCACCGGCAAGGAGATTGGGGAATGCGCCCAGGGAAACTACCAGGACACAGAGTTCCTCAAGTACGTCAAGATCCGCAGCGAGAAGCTCAGCGCCTTCTGGGGCCGCGACATGTACGTCGGCGCCAACGTCCTCCTCCCCCACGGCTACGACGCCAGCAACAAGACGCACCGCTACCCCGTCATCTACTCGCAGGGCCACTGGCCAGGGGGGCGGGGCGCCTTCCGCTATCCCACCGCCGCCTTCTCCAAAGCGTGGGAGAGCGGCGTCATCCCCGGCGACAACCAGACGAGCGCGCGGGAGGCACCGCGGATGATCCTCGTCACCGTCCGCCACGAGGCACCGTACTACGACGACTCGTACGCCGTGAACACGGCCAACCTGGGGCCCTACGGCGACGCAATCAATGACGAGCTGATCCCCCACATCGACGCCGTCTTCAACACCATCGCCGAGCCGTACGCCCGCGTCCAGGAGGGCGGCTCGACGGGCGGCTGGATCTCCATCGCCAGCGTCATCTTCCGGCCCGACCTGTTCGGCGCCTGCTTCTCGTCCTACCCGGACTCGCTGGACTTCCACAAGCACCAGGACATCCCGCTGTACACCAACAAGAACGCGTACAGGAACGCAGACGGCAGCGAGATCGGGTCGATACGGGAGTTTGTCGACAAGAAGGAGCACGTCCTCGCCACCGTGCGCCAGGAGAACCACTGGGAGCTCGTCTTCGGCACGTCGTCGCGGTCCGCCAACCAGTGGGACGTCTGGAACGCCGTGTTCGGCGTGCAGGGCCTGAACGGGTATCCCCTCGAGCCTTGGGACAAGATCACGGGCGAGATCTACCCCGAGGCGGTCGAGTACTGGAAGGAGATGGACCTGGCAAACTACATCGTCGAGAACTGGGATACCGAGCGCAACCTGGGCCAGGCGCTGCGCGAGCGCCTGTTTGTCTGGGTCGGCGAGTGGGATAACTACTACCTCAACGAGGGCGTGAAGGAGTTCCAGGGCCGCATCGAGGCCAAGGGCGGGGTGGGCTGGGCCAACGTTACGATCCTGCCTGAGAAGACGCACGGCGGTAACTACCAGGCCCGCGAGATCTGGAACTACCTCGAGCTGGTGTACGGCTGGATCCAGGACCACGCCCCCGATGGGAAGACGCCGCTGTCGTCCGAGGTGACGGTACCCTCCGGGCGCGGAAACATCTTCAGCGACGTCATCTCAGTGGGCGGCCGCGAGGCTGCTCTGGCCCGCCAGGCGCCTCCCTCGATCGAGGTCGAGGCTTCGGCCAAGGCAGGATCAATCATCAAGGGGACGGTCGGGCGATGGGACCCAGGTGTGGCACTGGAGGCACAGTGGATTGTGGACGGCAAGCCCAAGTGCGGACGCTTCAAGGTCAAGCCGGGCAGCGAGCTCAAGCACAAGACGAAGGCAGGCAAGAGCCGCAAGGTCGAGCTTTGGGTGACTGGGAGCAAGAGAGGCTACGAGACGGAGACGAGGCGAAGCAACAGCGTGACGCTGGAGTAATGCCAATAAGGTACAATAATACCGGGCTCCGACTACAAGAATGGACCTTGGGTTTGTGTATGATATGCCCTCGCACTCTTTGCATAAATTTACTTAATGATAGTCACTAGTCTTTAATACAAATCGCTCCATTTGAATGAGCAATGTTGGCGGGATGTCCTCCTCCAGTTTCAGCTGCTCCAGATTCAGCTGCACCAGCCACGGTGGCCACAGGACCGCACCTGGGGCTGAAGACCTTGGCGGTCAAGAAAATGCAACTAAGGACCCTGTGAAACGTTCCCTGTCAGCGAGGAACCTTGTTGTCACAGATTGGCTGCTGGTGGAGCGCCAAGGAGAAGTTATTCCAGCCATTCCCAACCATTTGACGTCGAGGCCCAACTAGAGAGCTGTCTATGTGCTTGGCGTTTCCTCTCAGTGGCGGTCCGTCCCGATAGCTCGAGCTCCCAAAGCTCTCTCTCGCACGCGTCCAGCTCCAAGCAACAGCTGAGGAATTAAGCCTTCAGGGGCGGGCATTCTCGCTAGGAGCACACATAATGCATCGTCAAGCTGACGTCGAGACAAGACCAGACTAGCAAATATGCCATCTACATCACCCATTGTGCGAGACATGCCCCAATTTCACATGCCGCTTTCATCATCGAGGCGGGGTATTATGTAGCTTGGGGATTTCCAAGGCCAGAGACGACCACCCCTCTTCAACATGATGCTACTTGTCTCACCAGCAACCAGCCAAGCGTATCATTGGACAGCAGCACGAGGCATCAACGCACCAGTGGCCACGGAAGAGGAGCTCTTATCACCCATCTTATTGTTAATGACGGCAATGAAGCTGAACAAAGATCGAACCGACCGCCTCAACTACCTATGCTACCCCGCCACTCCACCAGGCCCAAGATATCCACAAGCTGCAGCAGCAAGCGCCGCACTTCTGCTGTCGTCAGCCACTCGGGCAAACCGGCACCGGCCTTGGCTTGGCTCTGGGTTCCAGATGGCCCAATAGTCAGACAAGACCGCGGCCGGGCTCGAGCTACGGCACTTAGCAACGCCTCTATTGCCTACCAGCCCGATTGATAGTGCATTGCATGAGGATTATCGCCATCCAAGGCTTCGCCGCCCCTCTTTGACGTGCACGTCTAACAGTGTGGCGTCCACTGGAGCTTCCTCCAAGGCTTGGGGCCCCCTCACCTCACCCCTCCCCATCCTGTCCTTGGCTTTGTGACGTGTCGGGGGAGTCGTGCACGTCTTGTGGCCATGTGGTGTACTTGTCTGGACGCTCCCAACATGGCGCCAGCCCCAGCAGCACGAGTGCGCTCGCTTGTTGGATCGGTGGATGGTGCGTCCATTGGATGCGGTCTTGGCTGCAGCACACGCAATCATCTAGCCAAGATGAGGGGTTGCACGTCCATCCGTGGCTCTGGGATGATGGACGAGTGAGTGCCTCGTCGGCTGTCTATATAAGGGTCGTCCTTCCCATCTACATGCTTTGGTCTGGCTCTCCTTGTCAAACTCCTCTGATTCCATCTCTGATCCATACATACCACTTGCTTTCTCATCCACATACACAAACAATCATGTCTTTCCACCACAGTGCCTCAAACATCCGCGTCGAGGAGGGCCACATCCTCGTTGCCGACCTCGAGAACGGTGAGTCCAGAATCAACTTGGACGACATCATTGGCAACGACAACGGCAACTTCCAGTGGGGAGGCGTCAGTACGTAACAACCCTCCTCCTAACAACGGCCCTTGATTCTCCTGCTAACCCACGCCTCACCAGACTTCTCTGGATCCGCCGAGGATATTCGGTTCGAGCTCGAGGGCGACGGCCAGCCCATCCTCCGTGCTAGACTTGGCGACGTCGAGGGAAACCTGCACGACCGCGACATCAACCTCTCCGAGCGCATTGGCAACGACAATGGCAACCTCAGCTTCGGTATGTTCCCCCCATCTACCTATACCTTGGTCCCAAATTCTAACTTGGCATCGTGATTGTAGCTTAGAAAGCGGTCGAGACCCCAATGAAATAAAGAGGCAATAGGGGGTTTAGGATGAGAGAGTATCAGATTAGCGAGAGCAGTCTTGGTCCATAGGGACCTTCTCTAAATGAAGACACCTGTTGCAAATGAACATGAACCTTCTGAACACGCATGATGTCCCCAAAACCGATGCCCATGACGGAGTGATGTCATCATTGCAAAACCTACCTGCACCTGCACCCGAGGATCACAGCTCACATCATCAGACTGGCATTGCAACGAGGTCGCGTATCCCATCGTCCCCGGGGAGAGAGCTTGATACTGCCCACTGCAATTGCTCCCACGCAGCTCCCCATTGCAGCTAAGTGACACGACAGCAGCCCTTGGCGGAGGATGCCAAGCTGCAGTATTGCCTTGCAGGGACCGCCAATCGCGTCTGGATGATGCTCGACCCCACGGAAACGATGCCCAAACCACAGACATGTCAGCCGTCCATGCCATGAGAAGGGCCAGACCGGTCAGCCAGTGCTCGCGGAATAACACGTCTCGCATGGCGTCGGAGGGCCATTCCAACAGGCTGTGGCGTACAGACGGCGTGACAAGCGGTTGGCGCTGGGCAAGGGTGCGGACATGGCCGGGCCCTTTTTTTGTCGCGACCGACTGCGATGCAAGCCCAGGAGGTGCAGGTCTTGGCGTGTACGCGCGTCCCTTTTCTTGTGCCATGCCGTGCTACCTTTATGCCGTGTTGTGCGAGGTTGTGCTGTGCAATGTTGTGCTGTTTCGGCTGCGGGGTCTTTGTTGAGTCTCGGCCTGTCGTACCTGATGCCAAGCCCGTGTCATCTCCGACTTTGTTGCACTGCTACGTAGATACATTAGTGCCTTTGTAGCTTCTGTGCTCTGTATTGCCGTCAGCAGTTATGTCCTAACAGGCAGCTATGCCTGGAAGACCTTTCAGATTCTGTTGCGTCTAATGGTGCTATCTGTCTCCCAGGTGTTGTGAATTCTACATTTGTCTGTTCATATACACTGTGGCCAAGTTGTTACCCCGCCAATGCACCCTTCAATAGCTGCATCCCCTCACTAATCGTATAGCTGCTCTTCCTTGTGGCATAACTGAGACAAACCAGGTGACTGCCCGCATTTTATGCTGCAATTGTGGCTTATTGCAACAAACAAATACGTATTCCTCTATCAAGGAAGTCTCACCTTTTTCCATGCAGAGGTCATGCAATTCTTCATGGCTTGTTCCTTCAGTAGACAGAAGGCCCTCCCACTGACAGATCTGACCTACCCAAGCTTGCCAAGCTATCAATTGAAGGCTCATATATATTGTAATAATAAAATATTTTTTCCCTGCCCTTCTGACAATGGCTGAGTTGTTACTGTCCCGTTTTGATGTTATTGCTAGCTACCTACCCAGTCGAGTTTTTCCTTGGCGTAATCATGGCCTCTAAGACCGTGAATTTGTATCAGCGTTCTCGTGAGATCGAGCCTTCATTCACCGCATCAGCAGGCAACACCGTCACCAGTCAAACATGTCTTCAAACATGTCTGAGCAATTGGCGGGCGGCCATTCGGCGCCGTCTTCGTCTTCCGGGTACGAGACGCAATCCACATTCGATTTCATGGAGCTTCCTGTCGAGCTTCAGGCCGAGATCTTCCAGCAGATGCCCAGTTTGAAAACCGCAGTCGCACTCCGCCTCTGCTGCCGCCAGCTCAACGAGGTCTACCTGAAGAACGAACACAAAATCACAGCCGCCCTGTGCGAGTCGCTCGTCGCTCCCTTCCGGGAATTCTACAGCTTCCTCCAACGCCTCAAGTTCCCCGCCGGCTCGGTGAAATTTCCGCCGCCTCTTGGCTGGCCGGACATGACGCCTGCGGCCTGTGCCGACGACTTCGGAAAGACCCCATTCGCCATCGATGTACTGAGGCATCTCCCTTACATCAACAACAACCCCGACTTTCCTAACAACAACGAGAAGCAGCTCAACAGCACCAACCTCGACTTCAGATGCAACGCTGTGGATTACACAAACTTGCGCCCAGAGAAGCTCCCAGGGAGACAGAACGAGGAATTGCATACGATAGAGTGCCAAGAGAACCTGGATCCGGGGGACGAGAATCGCATCTCCGGCCTCAAGCATGTTGTTATAGTGGCCAGCGGCTACCATCTCTGTAGCGTTGTTCTCCTCTTGGACACCTTCTCCGGCAGGATCTTTGAGGAGCTCGTTGACTGCGGTCACGGCGCCAGGCTCCCAGTCGGCGAATACTTTGCCTCGAGGATGGAGAAGATCAGGGAGCTGCGTCTGATGTTCATCAATGGGTTTAACCCTTGGCACGTGGGCTGGGACGATGCTACTACTACTGACTTCGAGGTCGAGTATGATCCAGGCCCGAAGGATAGCGAAGGGGAGCCGGCGTGGGATCAGGATACCTGCCGCACAATGGAACGGATTGGTTGGGTAAGGCATTTGTATCGCAAGTTCGGCTGGCCAGGAAGTGATTGGAAGAAGGAGGAGTGCATGCAGGCTATTGACGACTTTACTTCCCGATTTCCAATGCGGTGAAAGTGCATACGTTAGGCCGATAGCTTTATTGGCTGTCTCACAGTAGCATTCGAGGTTGTGAGAGTTGGTAGTAATAAACACATGTTGTTCCTTGAGAAATCACGTAGGTCAAGGTCAAGAGCAATTGCTAGTCTAAGAATTGTACGGGAGAGAGAGAGAGAAAGAGTATAACGTCAAACAACAATAGAAGATGCCAGACCCGACATCTCAACACAATGAATAGTCTGATCATTGTAATTGTTCATTACTGCCTTCTCTAGAGCAGGCTTTCTCCTTCCCTCTTATGATCACACGACGCCCCAAACCCTGAGAGATGGTCGCAACCACTACTAAGCAATTCAGTAGAGGAAGGGAACGATACATCAAGCAAACAATGAAAGGGCCAGTACTCGTGGTATGAAATGACGACCGTCTACACGATACCCTCCACCAAGCATGCTCCTAAGCCCACAAGTACATAGCGGACAACCATGAGAGCAGGACAAGGCCTGACACTTGAACCCTTGTGGAAGCCCCAGGCTGGCTCGTTGTCGCTGCGGCGTCGGTTGCCGTTGTCGCCCTCGACTCGGAAGTCGTCGATGTGCTCTCAGTGCTGGATGTAGAGGCCTCCTCGCTGGTTTCAGAGGCAAAATCAGAACTGGTAGTGCTGCTTGAATCTTCCTCCGAGCTAGATGGGAATGAGGATGAGAACCCAATTGTCCTTGCAGTTGTTGTTGTCGTTGCCCTCTCGGTGGACGAAGATAATAGGGTGAGGTCGAGTGTGAGGGATCTTGTTGATGTGGCGAGTGAAGTACTCCCTAGGTTGTATGTATAGGAAGTGGCCGAGCCATCGGAGGAACAGTATGTCTCGCCGTCTCGGATGATGCAAGATTTCCCTTTGGGGCAGTACCCGGTTCCGGACGTGCAGCATTCCCCATCACTGGGCATACAGTAACCCTTTGACCCGCATGGAACCTCGTCGCTAGAGCAGGAACCAGTGCCAGAGCAGGTCTTGCCGATAGGACAACATCCGTCATCCGAGAAGCAGTATTCCGTGGCCTCGCAATAACCTCCTCCGTTCGAGCAGCATGTAGCCAGCATGGGGATGCAGCCGTTGTTGCAGACCTTCTTGCCAATAGCGCACTCTGCGCGCTCCACGAGCCTCGCGTCTAGGTCAGAGGTGCCGAGGAGCCCATCTGACCGGACTTGGGCAATGCCCTGGAATGACTTTCGAGGGTTGGCACTGACTGCTTCCGTGCTAGCATTGGCCAATACTCCAAGTGCGAGGAGTAGTAGCTCATAGAGAAGACAATGATCAAGTCTCATTTTTTGGTTTGATATCTGTTAAAAGCAGATCGCACTGTGGGTTTCCTCTTCTTTTTAGTCACAACTTCGCAACAAAGGCTTCGGCCGATAGAGCAACTGAGCAAGCAAGCAAGAATAATCGCCACATTTATAAAGAAAGCTCGTGGCCAAACGTCTGAGATACGAAGTACGAGATAAGGGCTTTTGTAAATATATTTCTGCCTTGATGTAACTGCCTTACAGCCAGGGAGCCCGGGTTGTCCATGTCAATGTAACGTGATGGGGTGAGTTGCTCATCTCTCATAGGGCTGCAATTATGGAGCCAATATTCTGGCTCTTGGCATCGGTATTAGCAGCCCTACGAAGAAAGAAACTTAGATATCTTAAGAAACATGAAAGAAAAGTGCTTAAGATGGAAAAAAGAGAGTGGGGGTGAGAAACGAGGAGTGCGCAATAGAGCCGCATTCCCCTCCGCTGATAATTAAAGCAGGTATTGCATACATCTCTTATAGTAAACCTCTAACCAGACCAACCATTTACCAGGTATGCGGTGGGACATAGAAGTACGCAACACTGCTCAAGCAAGTGGTGGTGCTTGATGTTGCAATCGGATCCACCTACACAGCCCTACTCTTCGGTGATAATTCCAGTATTGGGTTGCACCGGGGAGTATTGGTCCCGGCCTCTCCTAAGCCAGTAATTGCCTTATTGTAATTAGGCAACTTGTCTGGGCAGCGCGACCTGCATATATTTGACTCGGTTATTACCATGAGATATTTTGCGGTAGGTGGGGTTAGAGACCGAAACAAAAGCCAGGAGCTTGCTGAATCCAACAAAGGATTATGAAATAAGAGCGATATAATTACGCCCTCAGATACGTTCTCACTGCCTAAAGACCGAAAAAGAAAATTTCCAAACATAGCACTGGGAGCAAGATAGTATGAGCAACCTATCCATGAGAGCTAGCATACCAAGAACGCAGAGATTCTAAAAGAAAGTGGTCTAAGAAACTATTATCGTTACCGAAATATTACTTCAAGAGCTAGGTTATGTTCTAAAACTTGTTTCCTTTTCGTTTCATTTGCCTTTCAAGAAATGCCAAGTCATTGTGCTGTTGTATCGGTGGTACGTTGCGGGCTGTCAAAATCGTCACCATGGCCCCCAGGGGAGTGAGGGATATGGGGACTCCATTTACTAATGCAACCATCATGGCGATGCCGACGACAGGAATCCATTTGCAAAAAGCAAATCTCTTTGCAACTGTCCTTTTCATCTTTTGTGCAATGCGTCGATCTAGGGTTAAACGTGATGTTTTAAAAAGCCTAAACAGGACGGGCGAAGTGAAGTTCAAGTCGCCGACCGACATACGAAAAGCTGACCTGGAATGGCATGGAATGATGACGAGACGACGAGAGGCCTGGGTATTTACGGCCTTTCAGATCTGATCTACAACTTAGGGGACGGAATATTCAGCGACCCAAGGTCCAGATCATATCAAACATGGCGGCAGGTAATCACGGATAGGCAGAGGAACGATAAGATTGTGATGCATCAGGGCCAAAGACAAAGCCTTGTGATGTTTTTATTTATATTAAGGAAACGCCAAGTTAGATGGCAAGATCCAAATTAAGGTATAAGCCTCCCTTGCTATAGACCGCCTGCGGGTAGATGTAAAGTGAAGGGGGAGGGGAATAGCAAATCACGCTCAAAATCAATCAGTTCATTGACACATGTCTGCACCGGGCAGACGGAACACGACCGAGATCCCTCTCAGGTCGAATGGCGATATCCAGCAAACTGCTGCGTCTGCTGGCCGGAGAGCCGGGCAAAGTTCCACCGTGTGATGCCGTGGTCTCTCCTCGCCAGTGTCTCTCCATCCTCGGCCACGACGACGAGCTTGAGGGACCGGCCCTCGGGCACGAGGAGGCAGTAGCCCCCGTCCGGGTGCTTGCGCACGACCCAGTACTCCCACCAGCTGAGCTTCTTGGCCGTGCCGCGCATGCCCTCCTTGCCCTCGCCGTCGTGCCCTATGTATCGCCCGCGGGCCGGGTTGAGGAAGCCGAAGTAGCCGTCTCGCTCGACGCACAAGAAGTGGCAGTCGCTGCTCTCGACGTCGATGGCGTTTTTCAGCCGGATGCCCTTCTCGGTGAGGGCGATGGTCCTGCGGGTCTCGGCCTCGAGGATCATGAACGTCTGGCCGGGCCAGGGCACCGAGTAGTAGCCGTCGACATCGTTCCAGCTGCCCTCGATGGTGGGCGTGAAGGAGCTTCGCGGGGAATCGGCCGTGTAGACGGTGGTCGAGGGATCGGTGGACGTTTCGCTGGGCGCTTCGCTGGGCTCAATCAGTGAGAATCTATCCTCTTGCACTTCGGCGAACGGGCTCCAGTGCTTGACCGAGTAGGACGGTGGCGAGTAGATGGGCGTCGAGATCGAGGAGTCGCTGCGGCGATGCATGGCGGACGGGAAGGCTTGGTGACCTGGTTGATTGACAGATGGATGGATGAAGGTGGTTGATCGATTCCTGGCTCGCAGGAGTCGTGATTCACCAAGAAAGAGAATGGAATGGAGATGGACAGAAGGCGGGGCAGGCGAGCCTCATAACATGTAGCTGAGGCGCCTGTCTGATGTTGTCGGTGGCGATAGATTTGATAGCTACCTGACACACTTTGGATTACTGGCTGCATGTTTTGGTGGCACGCCGACAACGGACGGCCTCTGGATTCCCCCGGCCACTCAGAAGCCCGTTCAATGACATGGCTCCCAGCAAGGGACCCAATTGAGCTGGGCTGACCCTTTGGCGCACGCACCGGGCTCAGGCCTGTGTACTTTCGTGGTAAGCGTTTGCGGTGGCTGCGTGTCTGTTTTGATATCTGGTATTGATACTTGCAATATTCACATGGGTGATGCTAAGACTATCTGCTGTAGTTACGAATACTCTGCTGCCGGCTCGAGGTAGATATTACTTGCTGAGCCAGTGGCGTCTGCCAGGACGCGTAGTTAGACAGCGGTGGCCAGGGCCTTCTCGCCCGTACACCCAGACACGCATTAGCTGTGCTGGATTCGGGTGACGAGGATGAGTGGCCAACAGTAACGGCGGTGCGATTGGGCTGGTTAGCAGACGTGGACAATCTGATTTGCCCCCCCCTATGCACTAAATCATGCAGCTTCTCTCTATCACGCCGCAGTCAGCATGTCGGTTGGCTGGCGGCTGTGTTGCTGAGAGTGAGCAGATTCGCTATTCAAGCAGAAGACAAGGCCATCTGTTTGTCGCAGATCTGGCAGCCGGCAGGATCCAGCTCGGATAGCGTGGGGGGACATGGCCATGGGTGTCACGTCTCTGTGGCGATGGTGAAGGGATCTTCGGTGTCGCTGCGCAGAACCAACCACCAGACCGCCTGACAGATGCGCTATGGTGGGTGGGTGCTGCTCTAGCGCACTTAGTGGACGGGCCGGCCGCAGTTAGGGCACGCGACAGTGGCTCTGCCCCCGGAAGTCCACTAACCTGAACCTGAGTCAAGGCAACTGCAGGGAACCGCTGGATGGGGCGACCTCCACGCGTCTGCTCCCCAGATGCCGATTCCAGACGGAGCAGCAACCAAGGAACTGAAGCGATCCAATATGCCATGATTAGACATGTTCGTATTGTAGAGACTGTTATCTAAATGAAACAATCAAGTGGCTGGGGCTAGCGAGAGTCCACTCCATGGTTCGATTCACATGCACAAGCTGAAGTATACATTTCTGCACATAATCACCATGCTTATGAACATACACCAAGATGAAGCAGAGAATATCATATAATACGAACAATTTGCATAGGCCCTAGAGTACAATCTGTTCGTTTTCCCAAAACACACAATGCGACAGAACACTGTCGCGCATGAAGAAAGTGTGCATATGATGGAGACAAACAACACCAGTTCAAACTGTCTGCTCCGGCAATCCAACACGTTTCGCCAATTTAACTTTGAGTTCTCTCTTCTCCCATAGCGCAAAAATCTTCTGGTCGTTCCAATTCTCGCTTTCTGGCATCAGCTCGATGTCATATGTCCACAGCAGGCGTGCAAAGATGAGTCTCATCTCAGCATAGGCAAGACTATATTCACATGATCAGTTGGCTATTTGATTCTCCAATTTTGGCTCTCTTATCAAGCAGGACTAAACTCACTTTTTGCCAACACAATTCCGGGGGCCCATCGAGAACGGCTGCAGCACGGCCTTTTGATCGCCGGAATACTCCGGATCATCGAGCCAACGCTCAGGGACGAAACTGGAAGGGTTTCGAAAGTTTCGTGCGCTTTGGAATGCTGCCCATTGTGGTACGCCTACCATTGTCTGTGATGCGCAGGCCCAGGTTAGTGCATATCAGCTTCTTCGCAAGGTAAATGCTCACCTTCTCAGGAATCCAATAACCCTCCAAGTATTCCCCGCCTTTGGGGGAAACCCTTGGTAAGATTGACGGTACCGGAGGATCTATACTGCATCAGCACAAAGCTCTTCAAGATACCCGGGAAAAGTACACCTTACACATGCGGAAGGCCTCCTGAAAGACGGCAATCATGTATGGAAGTTGGCTGACGCTCTGGATCGTGATGTCGGCTTCAGAAGTGAAGGACGATCGCACCTCCTGAACTACCTTTTCCATCTTTTCAGGGTTCTTCAAGAGGTAGAAACTGGCACCGCTGAGTAGAGTCGCTGTGGTTTCGCTACCAGCTATAATGAGAATGTTGCTATTCTCGATAATCTCATCCTCCGACATGCCCTTCTCGTCATTGTGGCGGAGGATATACGACATGAAGTCCTCTCTCTCAGTATTCTTGCTTGCGATTCGCTTCCTTGCTGTCTCTTTTGTAAGCTCGGCATGCTCTCGGGCGCTCTTTGCCAAATGTGCCGGAGTTATATATGGTGCCAACCTCTCGATCCCGAGACGCCGCGCAACCATCAGATACGTGAAGGATTTGATGTTCTCGAAGATCATCCGTACCCAAGGGTGGTAGTTTCCGCTGTCTAGACATTGAAAT